ACCCACAGAGAACAACCCTGCACAGGGTTTGCCACTGTGATAAAACCTGTGTTGGATGACGTGGAGAGGCCCGGGTAGGTCTGCGCACACAAAGGTGGGCTGTCCTCTCCTCGCCTGGCCCCTGCAGTGTTGCCTTGGAAGCTCCTTTCTTGTCTTTTTCCTGGACCACCCTGGGCATCATTCCCATTCTCATGCACTCTCCCCCAAAGACTTGGGGAATTTTTTTTTTTCAGTTCTAGGGTTTGAACTCAGGGCCTTCACCTTGAGCCACTCCACCAACCCTTTTTTGTGATGTGTTTTTTTGAGATAGGGTCATGAGATCTATTTGCCCAGGCTGACTTGGAACCGAGATCCACCTGATCTCTGCCTCCTGAGTAGCTGGGATTATAGGCATGAGTCACAATGTTTGCTTTTTCTTTGAGCCAAGTTCTCCCTATGTAGCCCAGGCTGGCCTGATCCTCCCATCTCAGCCTCCCGAGTACTGGGATTACAGGTGTGTACCACCTGCCTGGCACATGGTGGAACAACCAGGCCTAAGACCCTAAAAGTCGAGCGGACAGCAGAGCCTAGAAACCCCTGACCAGCTGGAAGAGCCTCTGGCTCCTACCTCCACACCCCCCAGGCCAGTTCACAAATATCCCATTCACATGGCACTCCCAGGACCTGGCACAAGTTTTGAGGCTTAAAATAGGCACACAATGGGCCTTTGTTAGAGAGAGGAAGGAAGGAGCATTTCAGACAAAGGAGACAGCAACAGAGGCATCCAGGAAGCCAGGGAATGTGCTGGGGACATGGCAGGGGGAGCTGGAGAACAGGGTCCCCATGAAGGGAAGCTTGGGTGGGCCAGCTCACACAGTGCCACCAAGGCTGGGAGAGGAATTTAGATTCTGTGGTGTGAGGGATGGGCTGGTGAAGGTGTCAGGGAATGATGGCCAATCTGACCCTCGGAAGATGCTCTGGTCATGAGGGGCCAAGCACCAAAGCTGGAGGGACAGAGACCCATCTGGGCACTCAGAGGCTCTCAGCAACGTGGCACAGCTGTGAGCCCACAGGGCAGCGTTGGGTGGGAAAGGTCAGCAGACAGAAGGACAAAAACACCCCCAGACCCACACCCCACTCAGTTCCGAGAGTCACCTATGCCAGGGCAAAACCATTTAAGTAACAGCACTGCTCCCAACAGTGAAAAGGTAGAAACAGCCCAGGCTGGCCCATAGACAGATGGACAAATAGACACACAGCATGCTCCATCCAGGTACTGGAACATTACTCCACCGTGAACAAGTCAAGACTCTGACCCATGCTACATCATGGAGGGACCTTAAGGACACCGTGCTCAGTGAGAAGCAGACACATAAGGCCCCACAGTATGTGACTCCATTGATAGGAAACGTCCAGAACAGGAGGATCCAGAGGAAGTAGACTCTGTGAGTGCCAGGGGCTAGGCAGGGGACAGGGTGACAGCTCAGGGGGAGAAAGGATCTTACTGGGTTAATGGTAAGTTCTAAAACCAGTTTATGGGATTGCTGTACAATTTGATAAGCTTACAAAAAAAAAAAAAAAAAAGAGCCCTGAGTTCTATGCTTAAAATGGTTGAATTTTAAGATATGTAAATTACACCTCCATTTAAAACTCAAAAAGCCTTAAGACTTCCCCTTCTGCAGGGCTCTCAGGAAGAACCTGCAACCGTTTCTAGAAGCCTCTCAGAGCTGCCCACAAGGCCTGCCACTCACCTGTAGCAGGACCAGGACCAGCAAGGGTCTCCCTGGACCCCAGGGAGAACAACTTGGCTGATTCCAGAGGAAGAAGAGGAGGAGGAGGAAGGAAGCAAAGGCCAGCCTGTGGCCCAGACAATTCACCCCAGCCCCTCAACTCTCCCATTCAGTCACCATGGTGGCTTTTCTCCAGCCCCTAAGGGACACAGGCTGAGTCAAGGATGGCGCAAACCAGCAGCAGTGAAGCAAGGTGAAGAAATGCCAAAATGAACAGCCCTGGGTAGACAGACATTGGGAACATGGGATTACAGGAGCTGGCTGTGAAAGGACACGTGCCTGTGACAAACCTTCCCCAGAATGAGAAGCCAGCTTGGACAGGCATCTCCAGGCTGTTCCTGGTGGTTATAACACAGAAGCCCACAAGGAACAAAGTCAGAACTCTTTGTTTATGCCAACCTCTGACCAATATCACAGTTATGGTCCTTTCTGCAAAGTTCCAAATGTACAGAGGCCAGGCATGGGTCTTCGTAAAGAAATTACAAACTGGGCTTGGTGATGCATGCCTATAATCCCAGGACTTGCAAAACTGAGGCAGGAGGATCTAGAGTTTGAAGTCAGCCTGAGTTACACAGCAAGACCCTGTCTCAAAACATGAAAAAAATAAATTTTTACAAAGGTTAGGCTCTACGAGTGCAGCTCAGTGGTGAGTACTTGCCTAGGGTTCCATCCCCAGCACCAAAAAAAAAAAAAGAAAAGAAAAAAGCTTGATGAAGCCTCTTTGAAAATACAAAGAGTTTAATAAACACCTTTTGCTGTTGTTACATTTTTGGAGTGCTGGGGATGGAACCAGGTCCTCATGAGTGCTCACCACTGAGTCACATCCCAGCCCAGTAAGACTCATTTTTAAATTAATTTTCTTAGTGGTACTGGGATTTGAACTCAGGGCCTCACTTGCTAAGCAGGTGCTCTATCACTTGAGCCACTCCACCAGCCCTTTTTTGTGTTGAGTATTTTCCAGATAGGGTCTCACTTTTTGAGTGGGCTGGTCTTGAACTGTGATCCTCCTGATCTCTGCCTCCTAAGTAGCTAGGACTACAGACGTCAGCGCAGGCTCACTGTTTTTCTAAATAAAGCATCTAGAAGACCGAAAATTACCCAGAGATTTCAAGCTTCTTCAAAATAAGCCTCAAGCGCCACGTGAAAACCAAGGAAGCAGATTGTAAACACTGGCATTTTTCAGTGCTCAGTAGTCACAAACGAAACTCAAGAGCCAGGATTCAAAAGCCACACAGAAGACACACCTAGGAATAAATCGGGTTGTCTAACATCTCTACAATCAGTGTGCTTTCTTTTCTCCTCTTCAGATGAGAACTGTCCTCCTAATCTCAGAGCTAGGATTACAGGTGTGAGTACTAGTCCTGGGCTATTAGATTCTTTTCCCTATGTAGTTTTTTTCCTCGCTTTTTTTGGGGGGGGAGACAGAACTGGGATTTGAACTCAGGGCCTTGTATTCAGTTCCACTTGAGCCACACCCCACAGCCTTTTCCTCACTTTTAGTAGTACGGAAATGTTTGTTTTTCTTCCTTCCCTCTCTCCCTTTCTCCTTTCCTTCCTCCTTCCCTCTCTCCCTTCTCTCCTTCCCTCTCCTCTGTGACAACCCTGTCATTCTCCCTGCACCCATCTCCTCCCTGCCCCCCAAGACAAGCCCTAATTTAGAACACTGTGCTCAAAGCTTCGCGCATGCTCACTAGGCCGCCAGCACGTGTTGGGAGCATGCGTTACGCACTTTCTCACTACCTCCTAGCAAAGACCCCATTAGGTATTGCTACTGTCTTTGTTATTCCCACTTGGTGGGGGAGGATGACGGCTCTGAGGTGACAGCCACAAGACATCAGCTAGAGGCAACTCTGAATACAGCCCCATTCCCCAGAGCCCCCGACATGGTCGCTGGAAGACTGCCCCTGACCCCATGAACTTGGCATTGACCTCATGACACCTCGCAACAGTCTACAGACTTTAGCTGGGGACCTGATGCTTCAGTTCGTCAGCCTGTCTTCAGCCACCCACCTCCAACCCCAAGCAGCCCCCACTAACCGGGAAAAATAAGTGCCACCCACATCCTTCAATACCATCGTACCCAAAACTCCCACTGGAGTTTCTGAAAAATTCAGTCACCCATGTGAGTCTTTCTGCCCCTGTGCACCCTCCATCCTAGAAAGACGGTACCGGTGCTCTCAGTTCCCCCAGCTCAACCGTTCACAAGGGGCTTTGCCAACACCAAAATTACTAGCCCCCCCCCACCCCTCCACGCCTTATAATCAAATCCCACCGGACACCCTGCAATTTCCTTCTCATCCGTGTCTGGCAAGACACCTGCCAGTGGTCTCCCCACTTCCTTACTCATCACCCCATCTTAGCCCCTCCCTGCTTAACCCCAGTCATGGCCAAGTTCTCCCTTCCTTCTAAGGATTCTCAAGCCCTTTAGGGACAAGCCCGACCCCCGCCTCCATCCTCAGCTCCTCCCTGGCTCTGCCCTAACTTTGTCCTTCGGCCCTTTCCAGTTAGCCCTAACCCCGATCCTTCAAGCGCTCTTTCTGACAGACCAGACCTCCCCAACATGTCCCTCACTCCCCTCCCCAGCTCTCCCAATTCCTAATTGTCTGCAGCCCCCTCTCCTGCAAATCCCACTTCAAACCCTATCCCCGTACCCTCCCCACTAATATGGGCCTTATACTCCAGTGGGGGCTCCCTCCTCAAATATCATCCCCCCTCAACTCACCCACCCCCCGAGCTAGCCAACTTCCAACTCCACTGTCAGCCTCCTTGCTAGCTAGCCCAGATCCCTAATTCCACCCCAGCCCTCCCGCTAACCTCACCCCAACTTCAGCCCCCTCCCCAGCAAATCTCCACCCTGACTCCAACACCTCCCTGGCTAACTTCACCCCAATTCCAGCCCTTCCCAACTAACTTCCACCCTGACTCCAGCCCCCTCCCCAGCTAACCTTGACCTGCAACTTCAGACCCCTCCCTAGGTAACCCGAACACCCCACCCAGACCCACAACTCCAACCCCAGGAGCCCCAACCCCAGCTCTTCCCCAGCTAGCCTCGACCCTCCAACTGCACCCCACTCCACAGCTAACCGCGTCCCAGCCACAGCCCCAGCCCCCAGCTGCAGCCTGGGCCCCCAGCCGCAACGCCGTCCTCAGCTGACCCCGACCCCCCAGCTCGGCTCGCAGGCAGATCGCAGCGGTCCCGGAGCCTCCCGGCCCGCGAGCGGGCGCCCTTACCTGCGCTCGGGCCCGCGGTCGCCTCAGCTCCTCCGCGCAGCCGAACCAGCCGCCCCGGCCCGCGAGTGCTCGCTCCCTCCACGGGGCGGGGCCTGTGCGGGAGGCTGGGCCCGAGGTCCTGGCGCCACCAATCACAAGCCACGGTGGCAGAGGCCGGAACCCAGGGCGGGGCGCGGGACAGGCAGCGGGGTAGGCTGCGCCGAGGAGAGAGGGGCGGGGCTCCATGGTGGGCGGGGCCAGGGCGGAGCAATAAGTGACAGCGCCGCTGACCACCCGCGAGCGGAAAACCGGCTGGTAGGCGGGAGTATGCTAATATACATTGGCACCTGTGGACTCTGCGGCGGGCGAGGGGCCGCTTTCAAGGGATAGGACTGCGTCAAGAAGACTAGAGGCAGTACGCGAGTTCGAATCCGGAGAAGGGGTCGCGGGTTCGGATTCCGATTCTAACCCCAAAGATTCACTTGTAGGGGGAGGGGAAACTGTCAATTAAAAAAAGTAATTTCTTGAGCAGTATATGTAGGCTCCCTCTTGTGGAACCCTCTTCGTTAAGGCCTGGAGATGGAGATTATTATCCCCATTTTACAGAGGAAACAGTCTCCGAGATGTGAACCCGATGACATTCGCCCAAACCTGTCGTCACTATTCCACCGGTTCTCATGGAATCTAGATCTTAAATTGCAGAATTCTGGACTTCCATTTGGACCAAAGGAACCAGAATTCTGCAGGGTGAACTGAACCCTGGAACCTGCTTTAACAAGCTCCCCTGTGATATGGGGGCACAGTGGAACCACCATAGTTGGTGACCGGGTGAGGTTCTGTGATCCCCAGCTACTGAGCCTCCCAGGCCTCCCCAGGATGCCTATTGTCACTGCAGGAACCTCTCTGTTCACTCTCTGGGCTCCAGCTGATCCTGCATGTGCCATGGGCATCCCCCTCCCTGCCGTCCCCTGGACAGACTGTCTCCTGTCCACATCCTGGAAGAGATGTCTAAACAGGGGTTGCAACGTGGTGGCCCTCCAGGCAAAATGAGACTCAAAAGTCCTCCATAATTCATAAATGAGTAATCAATGAGCCAAGCATGGTGGTACAGCCAGAGGCGGGAGGATTGCAAGTTCCAGGCCAGCCTGGGCTACATAGCCAGACCAAAAAAAGAAAAAAAAAAAATCAGGATGTTTCACAAAAATAAATCCAGATTTCCAGGTGCTCTTGAAAAATCAGAATACCCAGAGATTTCCTGTAGCTATAGAATGAAGTCACTGGGCACCTATAACTCCAGGGGGAACTCAGGGTGAGACATCTATCCTAAATTCAAATTTTAACTTTTTGACTTTCATTTTTTAAAATGACAAATTAAAATGGTATAGCCAGGCGCCGGTGGCTCACGCCTGTAATCCAGAGGCAGAGATCAGAGGATCTCAGTTGGAAGACAGCCCCCAGAAAATAGTTCGTTGAGACTCTATCTCGAAAAAAACCCATCACAAAAAAGGGCTGGTGGAGTGGCTCAAGTGGTAGAGCACCTGTCTAGCAAGTGTGAGGCCTGGAGTTCAAACCTTGGGAACACCCACAAAAAAATTAAAATGGTGTATACTTACGGTGTCCTACAGTATGTTTTGAAATATGTATAAACATTTTTAATAGCTAAATCCACAATTAATATTCAAAATGCAGAACCGATTTTTTCCCCCTTTCTTTTCTCTCTCCTTTTTTGGCTTGTTTCTTTTGGCAGTTCTGGGGTTTGAACTCAGGGCCTTGCGCTTGCTAGGCAGGGGCTCAAAGTCATGCCCCCAATGGCTTTAGTTATTTTTCCTATAGGGTCTCGCGTTGATACCCAGGCTGGCCTGAACCAGGATCCCTGTTGTAGCAGGGATGTCAGGCGCGCACCACCACACCCAACCCCCTCCCTTTTTAAAATCACCCTTTTTTTTAGATTGAGATCAGCATAGATTCACGTGCAGATGTAGAACTAATAGAAAGCCTGTGTACCTCCACTGAGTTCTCCCTCAAGGGTAGTGACATCTTGCCACACTGTACAACAATGTAGCACAATGTCACAGCCAGGACATTGACCTTGAAACAGCGTGTTTCCACCGCTAGGGGGAGCCCTCCCTCTGCCCTTCCTGCTCACGCCAGCTTCCCCTGTCCAGCCTCCCACACCGCTTCTCTATTTCTATGATTTTTGTCAGTTCAAGATTGCTGGGGTATGGTGGTCCACACCTTTATTCCCATCACTTCAAAGGGAAGGCCAGCTTGGGCTACACAGGGAAACTCTGTCTCAAAAATAACTGAATAAATAAAAACAAAAACATTCTATAGATGAAGGTACACAGAATGTAAACTTATTTCTCTAAGTAATTCTCTCTCCTCTCTCCTCTCCTCTCCTCTCCCCTCCCCTCCCCTCCCCTCCCCTCCCCTCCCCTCTCCTCTCCTGTCTCTCCCTTCCTTCCTCCTACCATGGGACTCAACCAAGAGCCTTGCACTAAACTACATCCCCAGCCTATTCCTTTTGACTGCTGAATGATATTCCACAGTGGAACCAGTTTAAACACCCACCACTGGTCTACACATTGAAGCCCAACTTTGTTGCTTCCCATTTTTTTGGTTTTTTTTGGGGCAGTACTGGGGTTTGAACTCCAGGCCTCATGTTTGCTACACTTGAGCGGATCCACCAACACTCCAGTTTTTGACTTTTACAAATAAAGCTTCCATAAACATATATGATTCACATGTGAATGTAAATCTTTGTCTCTCTGGGACAAATGTCCAGGACTGCAGTTGGTGGGTAGTTGCATATTCAGTTTGGGATTTTGGTGTTTTTTGTTTTTCTGGGTTTTGTTTTATGTTTTGATGGGACTGGAGTTTGAACTCCGGGCTTCACACTTCTAAAGCAGGCACAATACCACTTGAGCCACACCTTCAGTCTATTTTCCTTTGGTTATTTTGGACATGGGGGGCGTCTAACAAACTATTTGCCTGGGCTGGCCTCGAACTGTGATCCTCCCAACCTCTGCCTCTCAAGTAGCTAAGATTACAGGTGTGAGCCACTAGCGCCTGGCTATTTTTATTTTTAGACAGGGTCTGACTATGCAGCCCTCACCAGCCTCAAACTCAAGATCCTCCCGCCTCAGCCTCCCAAGTGCTGGGATTGCAGGCAACACCATGCCCAGAATTCTTTCTAGCTTTGATGGGGGCTATCACCTTCTGGAAAAAAATTAACCACTAAAAGATGCATAGATGGGCTGCCAGTGTGCCTTGAGTGGTAGAACACCTGCCTAGCAAGTGCGAGACCCTGAGTTCAAACCCCAGTGCCGCAAAAAAGCAGAAAGTAAAAATGCACAAAGATATATATGCATAATGATATATAAAGATGCATAAAAATATATAATATATAGAGAAGATATACATATATACACATAATTTTTTCTTTTGTCTGAGATTCACATGGCAATGTTGGATCCTGTCTTTATTGAGAATTTTAATATTTTGTTCTGTGCAGATTTTTATATCTTATCAATTTTTTTTGTTTGAACTCAGGACCCCACACTTGCTTAGGCAGGCACTCTGCCACTTGAAACACACCCCCAGACCTTTTTGCTTTAGTTATTTTTCAGATAGGGTCTTGCATTTTTGCCTGGGGCTGGCCTAGCCAGTGATCCTCCTACCTATGCCTCCTGAGTAGCTGAGATTACAGCTGTATGACACCACACATGGCTTATTGATTGAGATGGGATCTCACTAACTTTTTGCCTGGGCTGGCTTTGAACCTTGATCCTCCCAATCTCCACCTGCTGAGCAGCTAGGATTACAGGTGTGAACCTCCATGCCCAGATGATTACTGAGGTTTGGGGAAGGGGTCGAAATCCCCTTAAATTTTGTGCTCAAAGTGAGTGCATCACTTACCATAGTTCTGTCCCTACCGTTAACTTCCATGAGAACATACAGGTTGCATGTCCCCAAGGGGGACACAAAGTGCTTTCAGCAAAGTATTTCTCAAAGCCACTGTACTTGGATAAATAAAAGGGGTGGTCAACTCTGTGCTATGGTGGATACTGGGTACTTTTCACAAATAACTCCCCGCCATGGAGCCGGGCTCCCGCCATGCTCACTCCTGACGCCAAGGATGTGCTTCTAACCACTACCCCTACCCTGCCTCTTGGGATCCCGGCAGCTGGACTCGAGCCACATACTCATATAGTACAGATGGGGAAACTGAGGCCCTTTGGTTTCTTGCCCTATTACATACAGCACTTGGGCTAAGGGTGGGTCTCAGTGTTGGAGCATGTGCTGAACTCTGGGTTCTATCCCCAGCTCTGATGTCCTTGTCATGAAAGCCCTAACTCTCTGCACAGACATGGACCCTGGTTGACCCCTCTGACCTCTCTGCCACTGGTCTCAGAGGGGTCCTGCCTCAGGGCCTTTGCATATGCTGTTCCCCCTGCCTAATGCTCCATCCCTGGCCCTCTTGGGGCTGGCCTCTCCCCTGCCTTTTCAGATCAGCTCAAATGTCACTTCCTAAGTCAGGTGGCCTGGACTGCCACCCCCAGGTCACTTTTGAGGTACCAGCTTACCTCTGCAGTATGTAGCTTTTATCTTATTGGGGAAATTCTCCCTATAGCTTATGAGCTCTGAGAGGCACCCCGGAGTTTGTGCTGGTGACCAGTCTGTCCCCAGCACTGAGGACAGGGCCAAGCATATAGTGGTGTCTCTTACTTTCTGTGTGGATGATTCCATCCCTGAAAATGAGGGGTAAATGCCAGGAAGCTGTCCAGGGAAGGGCCTGGGCCTTAGGAGGGGCCCCCAGCTGGGAAGACCGTTCCCTGCCTAGCTTCCTCCACCATTGCGCCCTGCAGGGACATTGCCCAGGTCACAGAAAGTCCTGGGACCTCCAGCTGATGTGTGCAGAACAGATGGGGAAACCCCCATCTAACGTGTGCAGAGGATGAGCCCCACGGCTTCCGCGTGAAGCAGTGTCGCACTGCAGCTCTGCAGAGTAGACAACCCTACACCTCCTTCCGTGCTTCAGGTCCCTGGTGCTCACCCCCTCACCTGGTCCTCTCCACCAGTCACACCTGACCCTGACTGCCACACAGGTCCTCATCGCCTCCCTCCCTCACCACCCTCCACCCACTTCCCCTCATCCCTCCCTTGCCCACCCCTCCAGACCCTCATCCTTTGCTGGTAGTGAGCTGCCCTCCCCACCCCAAAGAAGGGGCTTGGCACTACTGAGGATCCACTTCTTTATTGCAGGAAGACTATGTCTACAGCGAGCTACACAGACCCCACAGTGGAGTTGGGGGCTCCCACATGCAGGGTGGGGGACAGAAGGACAGGGGTCACAGCAAGCGTGGCCTGGCAGGGTCCCCAGCACCAGGGATGGCCAGGTGGGATGGCCAGCAGCCAGGACAGGCTCGGCCCCTCCTATTGCACTGCCCAGTACCCCCCATGGTCAGGCAGGGCTGGGGCAGGAGAGATCTGGGGACAGCGGGGACCCCGGGAGATTGTGCTATCAGGGTGTGTCCCTGAGAAAGGACTGAGAGCCCTGTCCAGCCAGGAGCCACTTTGGGGCAGGGAGGGGGAACACCAGCTGCTGGGGGTCCTGAACTGGTCAGAAGTCAGGGGGCTCAGCTATCCTCAGACACCATGCCACCAGCTCTACAGGAGCTCTATCCACACCCAGGGCAGCCACGCTCGTGCACACACACACACACACACACACACACACTCCCTGCCTCTCCATGTGTGCCCACAAACACACGTGAACAGTACCTGACACCTGTCTGTCACACATGGCCTTGTGGCTGAATAGCCACTCAGTGCTATCTCTCTCTCTCTCTCTCTCTGTCTCTCACACACACACAACACAGCTCCCTCACCTCCAGGAGAGGCACACTCCCTCTGCTAGGTTACCTTCTCTCCCACATTTGGAGTCATCAATGGAGAGGTCCGCATAGCAAGAAACCAAGGTGACCCCGGGCTGACAGTCGGTGAGGAACTTGCAACCAAAAGGCATCAAATGCTGAGACAACTGCTCGAGCTTAAAGTGGATCCTTCCTCATTGAACCTTCGAATATTTAAAAATATTTCTTCCACAAATGCTTCAGAATAATTTGCAGGCATTTTTAAAGAAGCAAGAGATGTTACCCATATCCCAATATTCTCACAAACCAGTACTTTTATCTGACCATTTCACTCTGGGGGCAGTAACTGGCATTTGAACTCAGGGCCTCCGGCTTGCTAGGCAGACACTCTACCACTTGAGCCACTCCACCAGCCCTTTTTTGCTTTAGCTATATTTTGGATAGGCTCAAATAATAAGAGCTCTGTAAACATTAATTGAATTCTGCTTAACATACATGAAAGCCATAGTACCAGGACTCTATATGTTTTTAAATCTGAACCTGTATTGTTTTGTAAGGTTTTATTTAACACTCACATTGCTAGCTATTATGGCTCATTAGTTAGAATGAGGATTGGATATCATTCATTCATGAAATGAATGACAGCGGTGCTCATAGGGGTGTCCACTGACTACAGCTAACAAAATGCGGACAAGACTTCAACCCAACCAGCACCTTGATCAAGACCAAGTCCACAGTCCAACTTGCCCCATCAGGGCCTTTGGCCCATGGAACCTGTGAGATGATAAACTTGAGCAGTGTCAGGCTGGTACACTGCTCACTTGTTACACAGCACTAGCTGACCCATACAGACTCTGAGCCGTGAGTCAGTTTGCATCCGACTGGGACAGACACAGTGCTCCTCAGACACAGAGAACAAACAGGTTTATAAATAAATCAGGTACGGAGATTCACACCAAACCACAAATATCAATGCCTGCTGGCAGTCATACACATGGCCCGTTACCCTCCCTACACCTATCCTACACCTTCAGTCCATGCGAACTAGTGCAGAACGCAGCATCCCGGCAACAAACACATAACTGTCCATGCACACTGAGCCTCACCATCCATGGTTCCACAGTCCCCCTGTGTATGTGGGACATAGCCCCAAAGCCTCCATGAGTGTAGAGCTCCCCACTCTCACAGACACCTCAAATCTCAGAGTAGGTCCTCTACTCTGGTACCCTCCCTGGGACCCTGTCTCAGGGGTGCACTTCAGGGAGGAGGCAGGCAAGGCAGGTTCTTCCAGGACCCCTCGGGCATTGCCCGCCCTAGAAAGAGGCTTGGTTGATTGCTGTCTCCCTGGCAGAACCCAGCACATCATCCTCAGCTCCCCAGGCCCCCAACCAAGGATTTGGCAATGACATGCTGCCAGGCCATGTTTCTATCTGGATGGAAGGCCAGTCCCCAGGTGGGAAGTGTCTGGAAAGCCCTTCCACCCTCTGGGCATCAGGATCCCATGCCGCATTAGGGACAGTCCTGGCTGGCTGGTCCCCGGCTTGTGCTGTGGCTGTCTGCCGGCCCCAGTGGTGGGATATGGAGCTGGCAGGACTGCTGCAGGCCTGTGGTTATTGCCTGGTGGCCTGAGGCCCATCCCTGGGCCCCTCCACCCCGTCATGAGGATGGGGTGACAGAGGTGCTCTGGGACCCAGGGGAAGGGCACAGGTCAGAGGTCACAAGGGAGAAGGGGATGGGGTGTGTGTTCAACAGCACAGAGGAGGAAAGGAGGAAAATAATCTGAAGTCAGTGTGCATTTCAACTCCACCCTCCCCCGAAGGTCACAGTGATCAAATGTTGGGGCAGAGGTGCAGGTCTGACTGGGGCGCTCAAAGGAAAGGGACAGAGATGGGGTCTCAGGCCTGGACAAGAAAAGGCAGCCTCTACAATCTGGGCTGAGACCAGCAGCTCCTCTTGCTGGCTCCCTGTCTTTCCATCAGTGGAACAAGGGGTCAACTCCAGTGCTTGGTTGAGGGGTACACACAGAGCAAGAGGGCGGGAGTGGGAAGAGCCATAGTGATGTGAAGGAACTGGGTGGGAGCCCAGCCCTGCCCCAGGCTGACCAAGCAGCCTTGGTTTCCCCAGCTGACATGTGGGATGAGAACGAAGGAGAACTGGAAGGAAAAGGGGGAGGAGGAGGGAAAGGAAGACATGGAAGGGGAGGAGAGAGAAAGAGGGGAGGAGAACATGGAAAGGGAAGGTGGAGGAGGGGGATTTAGGAAGGGGAGGAAGAGGGGAGGAGGAGGACAGGGAGGTGGATGCGAAACAGGGAGGACGTGGGGGAGAGGGAGGAGGAGAGGGAGGAGGACATGGAACAGGGAGGAGGAGAAGGAGCAAAAGGAGAGGGAGGAGGAGAGGGAGGAGGGGGAGGAGGACATGGAACAGGGAGGAAGAGGAGGAGAGGGAGGAGGAGGAGGAGGAGAGGAGAGGAAGGAGGAGAGGGAGGAGGAGAGGGAGGAGGGGAGGAGGACGTGGAGCAGGGAGGAGGAGGAGGAGAGGGAGGAGGAGAGGGAGGAGGGGAGGAGGACGTGGAGCAGGGAGGAGGAGGAGGAGAGGGAGGAGGAGAGGAAGGAGGAGAGGGAGGAGGAGAGGGAGGAGGGGAGGAGGACGTGGAGCAGGGAGGAGGAGGAGGAGAGGGAGGAGGGGAGGAGGACGTGGAGCAGGGAGGAGGAGGAGGAGAGGGAGGAGGGGAGGAGGACGTGGAGCAGGGAGGAGGAGGAGGAGGAGGAGAGGGAGGAGGAGAGGGAGGAAGAGGAGGAGGAGAAGGAGAGGAAGGAGGAGAGGGAGGAGGACAGGGAGGAGGACGTGGCGCAGGGAGGAGGAGGAGGAGAGGGAGGACAGGGAGGACAGGGAGGACGTGGCGCAGGGAGGAGCGGAGCAGGGGAGGGCGGAGACGGCGGCGGCGGTGGGCGGGGCCTGGGTGCCCTCACATGAGGCTGCATTTGCCCTTGACGCGGTCTGTCCTCTTCTGCTTGCTGGAGCGCTTGCCGTCGATGTTCAGGCTCATGCTTCGGCGCGTCTCCAGCGTCAGCAGCTCCTGGAAGAGCTCCTTGACGTTGTAGTTCATCTTGGCCGATGTCTCCATGAACGCGCACTTCCACTCCTGGGCCACGGCCTGGGCCTCGCGGGTGTCCACCTCCCGCTGAGTCTCGTCGCACTTGTTGCCCACCAGCATGACGGGGATGTCCTCCACGCTGCCCTTGATCTGCACGATGAGCTGGTAGATGGGGCCCAGCTCCTCCAACGACTGCTTGCTGGTGACAGAGAACACCAGGATGAACGCGTGGCCCTTGGAGATGGACAGCCGCTGCATGGCAGGGAACTGGTGACTGCCGGTGGTGTCCGTGATCTGCAGCGTGCACACGCTCTTGTCACAGCTGATCACCTGCCGGTAGGTGTCCTCAATGGTGGGGATGTACGTGTCGCGGAACGTGCCCTTCACAAAGCGCAGCACCAGGGAGCTCTTGCCCACGCCGCCAGCACCAAACACCACCACGCGGTAGTCATTGCTTTGCTCCGGCATCTTCCCCACCGGGTGGGGGCCAGGCTGGCTGCTAGAACCCCAGACCGACCCTGTGCAGAGAGGACAGTCAGAGCAGAAAGGCCACCCAGCCTGGAGAGGACAACTCCGGCCCCAGCAACAGTATGTGAGGTTCCTCAGAGGACGTGGCACATGCCCTGCGCCCTGGGAGGCCCTTCTGGCTGAGTGGGCTGACTTTGCAATTCTGTCCTGCAGACGGGCTCCCTGCCAGCCCTTTTGCTTTCTTCCCCCTAAAAATACCTGGGGCCTAAGCCTTCCCAAGGGGCCTCTGAGCTGGACGACTCCTTCCCCAGTTGTGGGCACCCCTCTCCGGCCCTGCTAGGGTCCCCTCTCTCCCCAGGGTGGCCATGGGTTCCTGAGGGCTAGGACTGCTGGCTACCAGCTCCACACCTGAGTGGCTCTGAGTGACCAGCAGGCCACCTTCATCCCCAAGCCTCCATTTCCTCCTGTCCCATCCCAGTGGGTGACACTGTGTGTCTCCAACAAACAACCACGGGCTCCCTGCTCTATCTTCTACATCTCAAAGCAGCTGTTTAAGGAGAAATTTTAAATGCAGATTTTAGGGCCCCAGCTTCAGATGTGATGAATCACTAGGTCTAGGGCCACAGCCCTGGAAACTTGCATTGTTCCCCTGTCTCCTCATAAATGTGACTCTGACACTGGGAGTCCAAGAACGGCAAATTGCAAATCATGACCGTATAGCATCCCTCTAGGAGGCAGGAACTCATAGCCCAGGCAAAAATGCCAAGGTATCCAAGTGATGGTCTGGCCTGTCCTGGCTGCTGGCTCAGGTCTCAGGTCCCTTAGGACTAGAAGTCCCTGGGGTGGGGGGAGTCCTCTTAGCATCTCTCCCCTCTTAAGAGAGGACTTCCGACTTGTGCTCAGAAAGATCCAGTGGCCTCGGAAGGTCACACAGCACAGCGATTCCTGATATGCTGGAGGTGGGGGAAGAATCAAGGGCCAGGGGAACAGGAAGAAGAAGGCAGGAGGCCTGTGCCTAGAATCAGTGTCCTCATTGAGGGTCCCTTGGCAAGGAGATCCTCAGAGGGGTAGACAAGGCCCTCACCTCCCTATGCACTTTGGGTACATTCCTTCCCCTGGGAGTGTGTGTATGTGTCAAGGATTTGAGTGCACCCTGGAATCAGGCAAGACTTGGGGGTGTGAACTAGGCTGAGAAAATCCACGTCCCTGGACCTCAGTTTTCTCATCTATGAAATGGGAACATTCACTTGCCTACCTCATGGAAATACTAGGACCAGTAATGTGTCAAAAGCCCTTAGGCAGGTGCTTGACATATAGGAAGCTCGGAGAGAGATGGACAGTTGAAAATATTATTACAGCCCCTGGGGCTCAGAGCGGGGATACGCTTGACTGTCCTGGTGAGTCAGAAGGCACTTTCTGAATTATCAAAGGCAACAGACATGTCAGAAAAAAAAAAAAAAAAAAGAATGATAAAAGCGACAGCCGACACATAGCCCAGTGACGCACAGGGAAACTTGTGGGAGCTGTGGACTAACTCTGGAAGTGACGCTGGGTATGTGGCTCTGTGTATTGTACTCTCTTGCAATTTTCTGCCCGGGGAGGAGGCTGTGGGCTGGGGGGGGGGCAGTGGCAGCCAGTTTGGCAAACGTTGTGTTTTTGGAGGGGAGGGGGCTGAAGTGGGGACACTGATAGGAAGATGGACACTGCCACCACTGACCTGGGGCCTGAGTGGCTGAGGATGGTGTGTTCTGCCTTGCTTTGGCTGTGGAAGGCTGCAGCCCCCATCCTGCTGATTGATGAGTGTCCTCTCTCCCAGAGGGTCCCGCTGGGGCCTGGGATCCCCAATTAGGACTCTTTGTTCAATAACCAAATCCATGTCCAGGGACCACCTGGCATGATTTGAATCCCACTCCCACATCTTTTTGTGGGAAGGGGTCATGGCACTGAACTTGGAGTTGGGAGTGGGGACCAACTCAAGGTCACAGAGTAAAAGGTAGCAGAGCACTCAGCAGGACTCAGAGCCAGCCCTGCTTGCCTGCAGTGCCCTGGGGCCTCTACCCATGCCAGGCAGCCCACCTTGACACTCCTGGGCCAGGCCAGCCTGCCCAGCCAGAGTCCTCTGGCCCAGGATGTCCAAGCAGCTTCAGGTACAAAGAACCAGAGAGCCCCTGGCCAGAAACAGGTCTGGGGGGATGCCTGACCAACAGGGGTGTTGGTCCCCAGTGAGGGGTTCCATTGAGAAAGGGCATGCTCCAGGGGGCCCAGAGGGAGAGCCGGCCAGGGGCTCCCCTGGACTCAAAGAGGGCCTTAGAGGAGGGAGGGGTCCTGAGTGAGGGGCTGGGCTGGGTAGAGGGGTGGAGGGCTAAGAGGGTGAGGGTGGCGGACAAGGGGCAAGGGCTCAACAGACAGCTCATGGAGGGAGCCCTTCCAGGGGACAGAGCCAGAGGTCAGCTAGCATAGCCCTGCGAAAGGGGTGGCTGCGCAGGGGTGGGACAGAGCACTGGACAGGAGCTGTCCAAGGTGGGCACCGGAGCGGCCGGCCAGGGCGCGGGATGGAGGCCCTGGAACGCGTCGCCGGCCTGGCCCGGGAGGCGGGCGAGGGTGGGGCCGGGACAAAGGAGGGGCGCGCGGGAGAAGGCCCCGCGGGGTCGGCCGGGTGCGGCTGCCCGGACCCCCGCCCGCCCCACGCCCTGCCGCCTACCTGGGCCGCTGGTCCCTGTGGCGCCGCGGCCGCTGCTCCTCCGCTCGGTGTCCGCTCCGCGCCGCCGCCCCCCGCCCGCCGCGCCGCCGCGCCGCCGCCGCAGTTGCGCCCGCGCTGTCCCGCCCGCCGGCTGCGCTCCGCCCCGCCCGCCCCGCCCTCCCAGGACCTGCGAGGGGCCGCCGCGTGCCCAAGGTCACCGCCCCCCGCGCCCGGGCCGCGCCCCCCCGGGAAGGGAGGTCGCCAGGAACCCGAACCCCTACCGTGCCACGTGGTCACCTGGGCCCTGGGGACGCGCGGGTAGGGGGATCGCAAGCAGGAGAGGGCCTGGGCGCGCGGTCACCGGGAGCTGACAAGAGGGGGCAGAGGGAAGGGGCTTTGGGCAGAGCTGTAGATGAGGACAGGAAAGACGGAGGCAGGGGGCTGGTCATCCTCAGGACGGCGACCAGGAGGGTTTCGCACTGGGAAATGACCAAATCCATCAGTGAATCAACAAAACAGACGTAAGAAGGCAGAGGTGGCCCGTGGTCAGATCAGTGGAGTAAACCTGGACGTCCCCTCCCACCCCAGGAGGACAGGAAAGAAGTGAAGACGTGTGGGATTGCAGCCTAGGAGGGTCAGGACAGCTGGACCTTTGTGGGAGGCAGTCAAGGGGGAGATGGTGGGGACCACAGGAAACAGCTGAGAATAAACAAGTGTTTATGTTCTTTTTTGTGGGGGGGGGGAGACTTTGAGACAGGGTCTCACTGTGTAGCCCAGGCTGGCCTTGAACTCACCGTCCTCCTGCCTGCTCCTCCTGAGGACTGGGTGACAGGTATGCACCACTATGCCCAGCTTTGATCTCGAATACACATTTGTCTTAGGGACACATCTGTTCATCTGATGTGTCTGTGTGTCTGAGGTGCAGCTGAGGAGAACAGGCCATGGTCCTCTCCTTTCTCGCACCAGGAGGCAGAGACTCATCTTGGCTGTATCACAGAGCTAACTGGAAGTTGGACGTTGGGGCGCAGACACCACATGGTAGGCTCCCACCCCGGGCACAAGGGCAAGGCAGTCCCAGGCCCCTTCCCGGGGGAGGCCGGAACCCAGAAGAGGGGCTTTCTGGAGTCCGTGTGGACAGAGGCTCATCTGTTAGATAGTGAGTTACCTGCTGGGGTTGTGACCAGATGGTCAGAGGGAGCCCCAGGGGCCCTCAGGCTCCTGGCTCCTAGGTTCCCTGTGATAGGGGTGGGTTTCAGCAGCATTGGCATAGGTGGGCCCTTCCTGCTATCTTGGAGACGTGGCAGTGCCCCCAAGAGCTCTGTCTTCTCTCCTACTGCTGCCACCAAGGTAGGGCACTGGGCTCAAAGTGCCACGTCTCTCTGACTTGGCCTTGCTCTCCTTCCTCACCTCCAGTCTCACTCCCTCCAGCTTGGCATTCAACACTCAGCCTTGAACATGGTTTCTGCTACTCTAATGCCATTCATGTTTCCCTCCACTTCTGGGTCTGGATCCAGCTTCTTTGCCTGGGGTTCAAATTATCCCATGACCTCTCCTCCTGTGCCCCCTCCATCCTGGGCTGCCTGGACAGAGCTCCTTCCTGCCCTGGTCCTGTGTGAGTCCCTTAGAGGGTGACCCAAACCCAACCCTCCTCTCAGCCAGAGATGGAGACAGCCCCATGGGCAGACACGGCTGCTCTGGTCTGGGTGGCTGTGTTCTGGGACAGAACCCCCTTGAGCCTCAGTTTCCCTGTCGGTTCATAAGGATCACGTGGCCCCTCATGGTTACTGCCAGGCACCGTGCTTGGGGATGGCAGCTGAGTGCTGCTTCATCTCCTGAGTGACCAGTGGGCCCTGGGCAGGGCCCTGGCCGGCTCTCTGGCTCCTCCGGGCGCCAGCCCCAGCCAGGCAGGCTGACTCATGAGTACGCAAGCGGCCACAGCAGCGAGTCCACACTGCTGCCTACTATTTATAGCTCTCAGGCCAGGCTCTGGGCCTTGTGAGCTGGCAGAAGACAGGCCTTAGTTCCCTTCTTGCTCTCCCTGGGATGTGGATGCACCCCAGCTAGGGTGGTCACACCCCCTCACCATGGGTGGCTGAGGTGATGGGCACTGACAGCGCTGCCCCTCCCTGGTAAGAGTCACAGTCCATACATGAGGCTGTGAAACTCAAGAAACTGGGGAGGCTCAGCGAGTTAGCACTGGAATTTGGGGTGTCTGGGCCTCCCACAGCACTCCTCACACTCACCCCCTTTGGGGAGTCCCTGGGCATCCTGAGCAGCAGAGCTGGGCAAGGAGAGCTACCACACTGGCAGGAAGAGGAGCCCCTTCTGGCTTCACTGGCCCCTCCATTTCTGGAGCCTGGCAGGGTTAGCCCACATCCATGCTAACTCCTCATGGTGAACCCCACGGGGGGCTCCTGCAAACACAGGGTGACAGTGTCGCTGGAGTGCAGCCATGCAGAGCACACAACAGGCCAATGTCCCTGCCCTCATCTGAAAACTGAGGCTCAAAGAGGAAGTGACTTGCTCCAGGTGGTCCAGCAAAGAAGAGGCCTGTCCAGAACTCAGCTCTTCGCATCCCTTCCTTCCTGTCCCCCGCTGTGTGGAGGCCTGGCCCAAGGACCCTCTGTGGGGCTTCACTGATAGACCCTCCTTCTGCTGAAAGGCAAGGGAAAATGTTCATCTACAGAGTCCTGGGTCCTTGCCTGGTCTGACAGCCCCGCGGGACCTCCCCTGCCCAATGCCCTGACCAGAGCCCCACGCCAGCCGTGAGGGCAGGAAGGCAGCTGGCTCCTTGGATCAATGCAGTAATGTGAGCAAAACCAAGGCTGCCTACAACAGCCTCAAGAGGCGCCATCACTCATCACTCATCACTGATGAGTTCGACCCACGAAGGTTTCTGTTGCTTTTTTGGTCTTAAGTTTGGCCTCAATACTTAAAATATGATCATTTGTCAAAATCCAGTTTGCCTTCTAAAACAGATAGGTTCTTACTATACACTAATATACATCAACAACAACAAAAAAACAGGCTTAGCCAGGCGTGGTGGTACCTGCCTGTAATCCCAGCATTTGGGAGGCTGCGGCAGGAGGATGGAGAGTTCCGTGTCAGCCTGGGGTACACAGTGAGACCCTGCATCAAGTAAGGCAAACAAGATGCCAGACTAGGCATCTTGTGCCCTCAGCATCTGCTGATGCTCTCAGGATCCAGTGGATGACGGAAGACACACTCAGCCCAGAGCGTGCCCCAGGAGGTGGCCTGGGCTCTCCACCAATACACGTTGGGGTGGAGGGGCTGTTTCATTACCACCTCGGAGGAATGGGATTACTGAAACCTTTATTGCTGGCAGGATAACCCCCCTGAAACTCTTGGGTCTCTTTACAGAGATCCCAGACACTTCTATTATTAAGAAGGCTGAGATCTGCCATTCTGTCCCCCAGGGGACTGGGGACATCTGTGACTGTCACAACTGAGGAGCTCCTGGCAGAGTGGTAGAGACCAGGGACGCTCCTCAGCATTCTGCTTGGCCCAGGACACCCACAGAATATGACCTGGCACATATCTGCACTGCCAAGGGGGTCCCTGGAGTAGGGCAACAATGTCACACTGTCCCCAACCCAGTCACGTTGGCATTTTTTTGGTAGAGGTTGGTAGAAATTCAAGCACTCAGGCACCACCCTGAGGCTGCTCAGCCTACAACACACGTTGGCCCCAACGTCCACAGTGCTGAGGGGGTATGGTTCCTTTCCTAAGGGCCACCCATCTGGCTACAGCTGGTTTGGAGGCCCGTACCATCCCTGGAGCATCCCTGGCCAGTCTCGGCACCTCTCTCCAGGGAGACGTGGGACTCAGTGGCAGCCGTTCACTGTGTCTCACCGGCAGCACCTGGGAAGCGGAGGCTCTGAACAGCCCACCCACTGGCCCAGTCCCCCCCCTGCAAGCCTGGTCAGGTCACAGGGATCACTTGTGCTCTTGGCCGAGGCCAACTGGGTTCCTGCCCCAGAGCCCTGGGAAGGCAAGGGTGGGAGTGCAGAGGGCATCTTCCTGCCCCAGCCCAACCTGGCCTTGACACCCGACATTCCAGAGACATATTTTGGCATCTTCAGAGACCAGTCCCCCACCTTTAGTGACCACCTTTTGAGGGGAGGACCCTCCTCTGTCTTGGTCCTCCAGTCTGCAGTGGTGCTTAGGAAGAGCCAGGATGGCCAGGAGCGTCAGCACGACTGATCACAGGCTCTGTCCCAAAGCTGGTACTTAGGACCTGTGCTAGGGATGGTGGGTGGCTGGGACAGGTGAAGGCAGAGCAAAGGGATGACGGCTGATGGCCACGGAAGTTCTGAAGGTGCTGAGGGCTGGGAGACACTGTTCCACTTTCCCCTCCACCCAAGCTTTTCTGGGCCTGTGTTGCAGATGGGCTGGGAGCTGGCTCCCCCGTCCCCGCCCCCATTAATAACTTCTGAACAGAAGCGCAAACAAGAGACAACACAGCCTGACACGCTGTTATTACGGTCGACTCAACCCTTGAAGCTGGTGCCTCCCGTGGCTTCCTCCCCTTCTCCTGCAGTGAAGGAGGGGACTCCATCCAGCTGACAACCCTGCTGAGACTTTCCACAGGGGCAGTCCGTAGGGGCATCCTGGGCACAGCAGGGCACTGAGCAGCGTCCCTGGCCTCCACACACTCCGTGCCAGGAGCTCTCTAATCCTAACACCTACATGTCCCCAGACATGGCCCAGTGTCCCCTTGGAGGGCACAATCACCTCAACTGAGAGTCACAATCAGTAAGAGACTTCAGAGGAGGGGCATCCCAGCTTCTTCGAGCCACATGACATTCTTGGGATGTTGAAGTTGCATAGATGCAGGCTGACAGCTGTGTGCAACCATAACTCCTCATTCTTATCCAAGCCAAAGTCTGATCACTGTGTAACAGTGCGCAAGTGATCACACAGAGGCTGGGGCCATGAGACCCTGTTCCAAGGGCTGGGAGTGGCAGCTATACCTGTAGTCCCAGTGATTCGGGAGGCAGAGATTGGGATTATTGTGGTTCAAATCCAGCCTGGACAAAAAGTTATCAAGACTCCATCTCAACAAACAAGTTGGGTGTGGTGGCTCACAGTTGTAATCCAGCTACATGCTGGTGCAGGCACAAAGTCAGGATTCTATCCCCTATCTGAAAAATAACTAAAGCAAAAAGGGCTGTCTGGAAGCACTGTTCAAGTGGTATAGAACCTGCCTAGCAAGCAGCATGAGGCCCTGAGTTCAAACCCCAGTACAAAAAAAAAAAAAAATCTGGTCCAGGCCAGACTTGGCCACATCACATCAGCAAGGAGACCTGGTGAGAACTTTGCTTCTCTGGCCTCTGTCTGATGGGCGAGATGGCCACATTGCTGCTTTTCATCCCAACATGGAATGGCCACCAAAATGAGCCAAGAGACACCTGTCACTTGTTGCCTTGGATTGCATCTGGCCTATCCCTCTACAGCTTGTGGAAGCAGGGGAGCCCAGGGCCAACCCTGTTCCCTTGACTGCAGCAGAGTGGAGGGGACAGTCTAAGGGCAAGACCTCAGTGGAGGGGCAGAGGGTGGCAGATGAGCAGACAGGTTCCATGACCACGGTCCTTCCCTTCCCAGATTACCACAGGCCTAGATAAGCTCTGGGGCCGGGGAGTGTGGAGGCCCTCGTGAATACATCACAGTGGGCAGGTTATGGCGTCTGGGGCTGCCCAAGCTGCTGGGCTGAGGATCCTGGGACAGCTGTGCCTGGGCCCCAAGATTTCTACCTGTGGGTGGTGCCAGGCAGTGTGGTGGGCACTTGGAGTCCTTCCACACTGAGGGGTACCCTGGGGGACAATGTGCTCTTGACGGCTCGCCTGCAGCTGTCAAGGATAAGGGAGGCTCAGATGCCCCTCCCCCCCACCCAGAGCACACTGCTCTCTGCTCTACATGGGGTTCCAGCCAGATTTGGGGAGACAGGGACCCTAAGGATTCCTCCCCTGGCCCAGCCATCATTTGGGCCACATCCCACAGCCACATATGCTCTGGACACCTCCCCTGCGGGGAGAGCAGGCAAAACCTTCTAGATCCCAGGTAGGATGAGACAGCAAGGGAAACAGTGAACTGTGACAGTGAAAATGTCCTATATCCACAGGGCCATTTTCCCAGCACAGGGCAGGGTTGGGCTGCACCGGGTTCACCCACGGCTCCCGGGGAAAGGTTCAAACACAGTTCCTAGAAACAGACCCGAGATTTCAACAGCAACAGGGTGCAGGTCCTGCTGGAGGAACATGGGTGCCAGGAGGTGGGATTCGAACTCTCGTTTATTTACAGCAGTCAAGGCTTCCAGGGGGCTCTAGGAACACTGAAGGCCAGGGCTGCTCCCAAGGTCATTTCTCCTTATGCCTTGTGTCCTGTGAGCTGAGCTGTGGTGGCAGGTCAGTCCTTGGGGCACCCACCCTCTGCAAGTCACTATTGGTCCTGGTGAGAGTGCAGGACAGGAGGCACGGCCCAGCCCACAGCCTCAAGAAGATGGGGGCCTCTCCTTGTTGGGGTTGGGGTGGCACAGGAAGTCCAGAATGAAATGCACTGGCCCTGACATCCAGTGTCTGGGGGGCCAGTGAGGAAATGGGACCTCTCTGTGAGTTGAAGCAGCCCCAGTGGCTGTCTGAGGCCTGGAGATGGGCGCCAGGCTCAAGGTCAGACTGAGGCAGTGGTGAAGCCCGTGAAAACCTGGCCCCAGGCCACAGTTGCCAGTTCCCTCTAGCTGTACCATGCGCAGACAGGTGGATTGGAGCAGGCAGAGCACAATCCCAAGCAAAGCAGCTCACATGCCTCCAGGTCCCAAGGTGCCGGCTGGGGTTGCTGAGCGACAGGGTTAGGCTGTGGGGTTGCTACAGAGATGGGCCCAGTGCTCCCAGCCCGCTGGGCCGTCTCTCCTGCTCTGTGTGCCCTGGGGAAAGGTGGTCTTCACGTGTCCAGGTGTGTGGAGGGGGATGGCACCACCTGCCCTGTCCCTTCGTCCTGCTGGAGCCCATCTTCCTCTGGAGACCTCCAGGTATGTGCAGGGCTGAGAAAGCACTGCCAAGTCACCTTCAAGACAGGACCTCTTCCCTGTGCAGAGCAGCCTCCCCGATCCAGGTGGCTCCAGCAGAAGCCAGGGAAGAAGAGGGATGCTGCCCAGAGCTCAAGGCAAGCTGTTACTCCAGGGTTGGTACTGGGGCTCATGTGTCCCACTGGAGGCACAACCTCCAGTGGCAGGAGGGACAGAGCCCACATATGGGGTTCCTTTCAAAAACCACTGTGGTGCTGCACTGTAGCACGAGTGTCTTATGAACCCTGAGACTTAGGGTGCCAGAGGTGGACAGGAGCTCAGCAACAGGGCACCCAACTGCTTCTTGTGGCTCAGACAGCAGCATCGCTCAGGTTCTGGGCACAGTTGGGTTGGACACTCCTGTCCTTGTCCACGGATGGGGGCATGGTGGGGACAGGAGGGTCTGGGCCTGACTGCACCTGGCCATGGTTGCCCACCGCCCCCAAGTGAGCGGACCCCACCGCCCAAGGCTGACATGGCCACACAGCTTTGGTAAATTCCGTTAAGAGTATTTTCAAAGTAAGATCAGTGCCCTGAGGCATGGGGAGGAGGACTGGGCATGGCCTGTTCCCAGCTGCCCCTCCTGTGCAGGCCACCACCCTGCCCTGGAATGCAGCCTGTGTCCAACGGAGACTCCCAGTGGGCTCTGGTGAGCAGTGATGACCACCGCGACGAAGAGGATACTCACCACTTGAGGAAGACCATCCCGGCCAGGACCGTGTAGCCCAGCACCAGGAAGAGGACCTTGAGCAGGCGGTCACTCTTGTCCTCCAGCTCCTTGGCCAGGATCTCCAAGAAGGTGACAAAGAGGAACGTGCCACCCGCCAGGCCCTGCAGCAGCACGGAGGCCACGCTGCTGGGCACGCCCCGGGCGCTCTCGATGCCCAGGCCCAGGCCGATGCCCAGTGGGATCATGATGCTCACTGTGACTGCCAGCTTGGCCGCGTCCCTCAGGGGCATGGCGCTCCTGGCCATGCTGATGCCCAGGGCCACCGCCACCAGCGTCTCATGAATGGCCACTCCCACGAAGAGGCTCACCACCCTCTCGCCCTCCTCCTGCAGGCCCAGCGTCAGGCCCTCGAAAACCGAATGGGCCGACAGGGCGAAGACCAGGCTGAGCAGGCGCAGCGGCCCGGGCCGCGACAGCTCCTGCAGGCGCAGGCCGGCGGCGTGCGCATGCGCGTGCGGCTCGGCGTAGAGCGCGCGACCCCGCGCACTGCCCATGAACGGGCTCTCGTACTCAGAGTCGCTGCCCACGTCCGAGCCCGCGTTGAAGGTCTCCAAGTCGATGAAGGACGGCTTCTCCTTGCGGAAGGTCAGCACCAGCTGCTCCAGGAAGACCGTCATGAAGAAGCCCAGCAGCATGAGCGTCTCGGCCAGCGGGTAGTCGGTGCTGATGTGTCCGAGGCTCAGCACCTGCCGGAGCTGCAGGGGGCAGTGGGAAGGTGGGGGATCAGCCCTGGGAGGCCTAGGGACAGCCCATTCACACCAGAAGCTAAGAGGGGGGCGTGGGGCGCGGCCTAGTGGTGAGCGCTTGCCTAGGTCCTGGGTTCCTTAAAACCCAGCCAGTGTGCTGGCTGACAGCTGTAATCCTGGCAACTAGGAAGCAGCGATCTGGAGGATGACCGGTCCAGACCAGCCCTAGCAAAAAGTTAGCACCAACAAGCTAGTGGTGACCTGCGCCTGTGATCCCAGCTACACAGGAGGTTCTAGGTAAAAGGACTAGGATTTGAGGCCAGCAGAAGCAAAAGAGCAAAAACTGGAGATCCTAACTAAAAAATAAAGCAAGAAAAGAGCTGGAGAGTGGCTCAAGGGGAAGAGCACCTGCCTAGCAAGCTTGAGGCCCTGAGTTCAACCCCCAGTACCGCCAAAAAAAAAAAAAAAATCTCTTTACTAGGGCATCACACACACTGAGCACATCAATGACACAATTTCTAAGCACTGTAGCAGGTTGAATTATGGCTCCTGAGAGGTACATTCACCCAGAACCTCAGCACACGGCCCCATTTGGAAAAAGGGTCTTTGCAGCTGTAATTAAAGTGTCACCAATTGAATTGTGCCCCCCCACTTACACACTGAAGCACCCCACCCCAGCACCTCAAAATGTCGACATAGCTGCAGTCAGGGCCTTTACAGAAGTAACAAGGTGAACGTGAGATCATGGGGTGGCCCTAGTCCAAAGGACTGATGTCCTTACATAATGAGGAAGAGACCCCAGAGTGCCTGTGCACAGGGACACCATGTCAGAGAGTGGCCACCTGCCATCCAAGGAGGGAGGCCTCAGAAGGACCAGCCAGTGGGCGCGGTGGCCCACACCTGTCATCACGGCATGCAGGCAGCTGAAGCAGGAGGACTGCAAGTTCCAAGCCAGCCTGGGCTGCATGGCAAGACCGTGGTTCATAAAGACAAACAAAAAGGATAGCCCTGTGGCAGCTCCATCTTGTGCTTCTGGCCCCTGTAACTTGTTTCAGTCAACCTTTCTATCAGCTTCCTGTGTGCGGCTTTCTTGCATATGATGGGGAAGGGGCTTTGCTTCTGGAATTCATCCCACTATGCCAGCCCAAGGGACATGCTGGCCATGAACTTGGAATTTGCTGGCACTTCCACTGCCCCTGAGAATCCTAGAGGCAGAGCAGCTGCAGAGAACTTTCCAGAAGATCAAGTGTTCTCTCTGCTGATTGGGTAGCCAGCAGTCACGTGTGGCCAATAAGCACTCAGAATGTAGCTGGTGTTGCCAGGGGTGAGGACATGGGGTATCATTTCATTTCAATGCAATAAAAATGGACCAGGCCACAAGGGGCTCGCTTTCCCTCCCTAGTTCCTAGAGATGTGCACACTGAGCTCTCCCAGTCCTCTAGTAGCACGTGCTGGCCCCGCTGTCTGGAATATTCCTCCTGTAATTGGGCTCCTGGCTGCAGGTTCTCACCCTCCTGGCGTACCTAAGCCAGGGCACCACAGTGCACTCCCATGATTTTATGTCTTCTCAGCATCTGGTCTAAAGACAGGTTTAGCTTCTAGGGCTCGGTTTCCAGCTCCTTCCAGTCCCTCCCAGGGTCCACCCAGATCTCTGCTTTATACTCTGCCTCCAGGTGACACCTTCCTCCCTATGGGATGGAAGTATCTACGCCCTGTGTGGCTTGCACTGACACCCCCCTTCCCATGGACTGCATGGACATGCCGCACTGCCCCTCTCTCAGGTGCCATGGGACTCACACTGCCTGCCCTTGGACACCTGCATGGGCAATGCCTGGGACCAGGTACCCTCGCCCCCTCTCCCTTCCACCTCCTGAGGGAGCATGCGCACCCAGCCAGCTCTCCACCCACTGACCCTGAGAGGTAAGCTGGCTTGACTCTCCGAGGTCCATGAGGAACAGACCACTCTGTTCCTTCATATGCTTTATGAGCTGCCTCCTCCAAGTGTCCCTGGGCCGCACTCCCGACCCTAACTTTCCTCCTAGCCAGGCCCTTCGAGAGTGACTGCCTAGGTAGGAATAAGCTGGATGCTGGAAGACAGAGACATAAATCAGCCAGTGTACAGAAGCTTCCTGGGACTGGGGCGTGGCTCAAGTGTAGGGCGCCTGCTTAGCAAATGCAAGGCCCTGAGTTCACCCCAGCATTGCCAAAAAAATTTTAAAAAGCAACACCCATGACCACCCCAGAGCCCCATTGGGGCAGCACTGTAGTTCACAGCCACTCCCCAGAAGGGGATAAAGCCATCTTAGAGGGACAGCACAGTCTGCCTCCACCATGGTATCCTTTTCTCCCATCACAGATGTTTTTACAGCTGACCATGCGTGCGTGCACGCGCGCACAAACACACACACCCCCATGGTGGTTCTCAATTGGGGTGATTCTGCCCCAGGGGATATGTGGCAATGTCTGGAGGCATTTTTGCTTTTCATGACTAGGGTGGCAACATTCAGGACCCTGCAGGGTGCTGAGTACTGTCTCTGTCCTCCACCTACTCCATACCAGGAGCTCCCCAGTCAGGACAGCCACAAATGTCCCCAGACAGGGCCCAGGGTCCCCTGGGGGAAGCCAAGATCCTGCTGCAGCAGAGAGGCCACCTACCTCACTGCCTGCAGAAACCAGAGGCCTCCGTGGGCCTCGCCTGGGGACTGCGGCACGTGAGAAATGCTGGCTGCTCCCACAGGGGTAGTTGCGGGTCAGGAAGGCCAACACAGACCTGGGCCTGTTTTCTGAGGGTGAAGTGAGTGCAGCTCTGTACTTGGTGAGGCTGTCAGGTCTGGAGAGGTTCTGCACACAGAGGGATGGCAGCCTGCAAGCAGGGACATGACTAGGAGAGGTCTGGGAGGTCCTGTGTACTGAAGGAGGACAGGGAAGAGTGAGACCATCACAGGACTTCAGGCCTGAGGGAGGGGTGATTGAGGGTGACACCATGGGCATGTGGGACAAAAGAGGGGGCTGGAAGTGGCATGTAGCATGCAAAAGGCCTCAAGAGAGTGTCTTCTCCGAGGATCTCATCCTCCTGACCCCGACTGTGCTACCTCCCTAGACTGCCTAACAAATCAACACACTTCCTGCTATTCAGCACATATGCAGCATCCTCCCATCGTGAACAGAAGAGCCAGGCCCAGGTGAGCAGAGCCTCCACAAAGGGTCCTGCAGGCAGAAGCCACAAGACTTCGGAGCCAGCTGGTGTTCCGTAGAACCCACTTCCTCGCTGCTGCAGGACTGAGGTCCCCGTGTCCATGCTGACCTCTCAGTATCTGTAGGGTACCCTCAGGTCCTTGCCATGTGGTCCTCTCCTCACACACCATGGCTTTTTGCTACTTGGAGGCCAGCAGGAGGACAACATCTTGCCTGATTAGGCTAGGCCCACCCAGGTCATTTCTGGTTTAGTGATTTTTATCCTTGTCAGCTGAGTCAGGACCTGCACTACAGCCATCAAATTCCTCCTGCTAGAGGGCACACAGCAGAAGTGATGTCCCATCAAGCCCACAGCCCCACCATCCTCCAGAGCAGGGAGGGGGCATCCTAACAGGCTTGAAGGCACAAACCCTTTCCTCCTCCCTGGTACCTATGTGAGAGAATGGGAGGGGCTGCACATCAGGGTTGCTGGGTTCATGGGAAGGACAGGAAAGCCGTGGTATCTCAGCACCACACTCAACCCTCACATCTGGCCTAGGGAGGACAGCAGCTCACCTGAGGTCACCATGGGCATGGCCAGGCTCCTTCAGCTGTTGTCTGTATGATGCAGTTAGGGGGTCATAGCCAAAAGGCCCTAGAACAGCCCCTAGAACAGCCCCCAATGCCCCTGCCTCCTGACAGCCTGACCCCAGGCTCTGGGGTATGGGAGGGACTAGGAACTTACTTCTCACTGACAGAGGGGAAGCAAAACCACTTTCCTTAGGACACAACATCAGACCCAATGTCCATCTTGCAGGGTCTAATGTCTTCTCATTTTGCTTACGAAGCCAACGGCCACACAAGGATGACCCGTGTGGCCGGGGGCTGAGGGCCACTTCCAGTCAACAGCCAGTGAGAAATTGAGGCCCCTGGTCTGACTGTCAACAAGGATTACAGTCACACGTGCTTGGAAACCAGTCATTCCCTAGGCAGATGCTGACAGAGACAACAGAGCAGGACAGCTTGAGTGCTGCTTCATGAGGTCCTGAAGCAAGGATCCTGCTAAGCTGTGCCCTGACTCCTGATCTATGGGGACAGTGAGACAATAAACACCTGTTGTCATAAAATGCCCAACTTTGTGGTTTGCCCCACAGCGACAGCGACTGGCTGCAGGCAGAAGAGTTGCCACGCTTACTTCATTGTTGTTGTTTTACTAGTTTGGCTACACTGGGTCTTGAACTCAGGGCCTCACACTTGCTAGGTAAGTGCTCTACCACTTGAGCCATGCCCCCAGCCATTTTCTTTTACATTATTGTTCAGATAGGGGCTCATATTTTTGCCCAGGGCTGGCCTCAGACCTCAGTCCTCCTACCTGTGCCTCCCATGTACCTGGGATTACAGGAATGACCCACTATATCTGGTCAAACAGTGGTCACACTTAATTCAGGACAAAACATGTATTATCTGCAGAAGGCAGACTGGTCTAGGCATTCACCATCCATTGGAGTCATCAGTTAGTCTGACCCAGGTCTAACCCAAATCCCTTGTTTACCAAGTGAGGCACAGAGTAGGGAAGCTACCACCACAAGGTCACACAGCAACTCATTTTCTCGTTTCTGTTACCCTTTGAGCATCAAGACCCCCCCACCATTGAACTTGACATCAGTGTAGAAAACCACCAGAGCCCCTCCATCCTAAGGTGCCACCCAGGGAGGCCTTACCTTTTCCCGCACGGCAGGCAGCAGTGCATTGAAGCATGTGGCCAGGAAGACCCCACCGCCAAAAGTGTTGCAGAGGGAGAGGATCTTTTTGGAGCGATGCGCCTTGTCAAAGTCCGTGTGAATGACCTTCACCGGGAGCAGGGAGCCCAGCAGCATGAAGAAGAACACGCCCACCATGCAAAGGACTTTGGCCACTAACAGCTTCATCACGGTGGTGGCCGGGGATGTACGTCACTGAGGTGCCAGATCATGTGTGCATACACGCCAGTGCCACAATGCACTATGTGCCCAGCCAGGCAGCTGGGGGCTTACGCCTCCATTTAGCAACTGTGAACACCAGGGGCAAGTGCATCAGCTGTACAGTTATCTAACCAGCTGTAGGGACAGGGTCTATCACGGGTGGGGTACACTCTACTCCACCCCAGTGCCTATCCATAGCACCCCCTGCTACAGAAAGTTCCCTGGTGCTGCGTACACTGGCCACCTGTGTCTGTTTAAATGAATTCAAATTAAGTACAAGCTGAAATTCTGCTCCCTGGGCAGAGCACATCCCTTTCTATCTTTTCTTCCCTTCCTCCCTCCCTTCCTTTCTTTCTTTCTTTCTTTTTTTAGTGCTAGGGTTTGAACTCAGGGCCTGATGCTGGCTAGGCAGGCACTCAACCACTTGAGCCACTTCTCCAGTCCTTTTTTGTGATGGATTTTTTGAGATAGGGTCTTGAGAACTATTTGCCCAGGCTGGTTTTGAACTGTGATCCTCCCGCTCTCTGCCTCCTGAGTAGCTAGGATTACAGGCATGAGCCACTGATGCCGGCTCCTGGGCACATTTCAAGAGCTTGGTAGCCATGTGAGCCTAGTGGTTTTAATGTCAGGCTGCTCCGGCACAGAATTGGTGGACTGGCTCAAGTGGTAGAGTGCCTACCTAGCAAGGACAAGGCTCTGAGTTCAAGTCCCAGTCAAGCAAAAAGAAAAAAAAAAAGATTCCACACTCTACCCCAAAACTAAGGCTCTGTGTGACTGGTTTCTGCCTTGCATCTGCCTATACCAGCTTTCTGGACCATGAAAGCACCAAGCTTGTTCCTGCCCCAGGGCCTTTGCACCAGTTGCTTCTCTGCCTGGGACACCCTCTCCACTGACTTTCCATGAATGTGTCCATGTCTTTGGTTCACTGCCCCCAGCATCTCCCTGGCTGAGTTCTGCTCTACACCATATCCCTCAGATCCAGCACAAGGTCTGGCACAGAACAGACAGTCGGCGACGGCTGGCTGAATGAGTGGACAGTGGAAGCATGTGGGCCTCCTTACGTGACTCAGTGGACCAAAGTGGATATCTCACCCTGGCCCTAAAAATGTCACTGTTCTTAAGCGGGGCCGGAACTCCTTCCCTCTCTGAGTTTTCCCCAAGTGGGCGCTCTCACTGCCAACCAATCCCCCAGCTCTCCTCTCGCCACCCCCTCCCGTTATTCAGACCTTCAGGCCTCGGGCAAAGGGGCCTCCCCCACCCCCTTTTCCTGGCAGTGTTTTCTTGTTTTGTGCAGCAGAGATGAAAGGAACTAAATTGGAATCGATCTCGCTTGGAGCCCAGCACCAAGCCACAAAGGCACACAGCAGGCGCTCAATAAATACCTGCTCAGTGCGTGGATGCCCCAGTCCGTAGAGTGGGGGTGAGGGTGCTGGCGCTCTCAAACTGGGGACTGATCGGGTTGGGCCGCGGAGAGGACGGGCTCATTCATTCATCCAGCACTTACTGAGCGCCTTCTGTGTCCCGCGCAGCGGGACGCTGGAGCCGGGCCTCGACTAACAGGCGGGCAGAGTCCGCCAGGTCCCTCAGCCTCAACACGCCGATCCGTACTCACCACAACCGCGCACGTACCTGCGCCGGGCCCCTAGCCCGCCAGCCGGCACCGCCCTCCGCCAACCGCCCGGCGATCCCCGACCCCGCTGCCGCGGTCAGGGAGAGACCCCGGCTCAGCGCGCCGCCGCCTACGTCCCGCCTACGCTCGCGCCTATTGGCTTTCCCGAGCGCAGCTATCCGCAAGCCACCTTCCATTGGCTGCGATGGCGCCATTCACCTTGCTCCTACCGTCACGGGAAAATAGTTTTCCTCCGGCTGAGCGGAGGACGCAGTTAACAAGGGGCTCCGGCAAGAAACATGGACCAGAGAAGAATGGTTCCGGGAGGGTTTGGCGCCCAGAGCTGTCCAGGGGTGTCTGGTGCTGAAACCCGCTCGAATGGAGGCCTGGAGGGAAGCGATTTCCTACAGGGGATGGTCCCTCTCCAGGCACCCTAGTGTTGGTGCCCTTCCTGGCGGCTTAAGAAGCAGACAGGTCCAACAAAATAGACAGGAGTAAGTTCAAGCTCAAGAGATCTATTGTACAACATGGTGACTAATTAATAATGATGTATTAATCCCTCGTGTTCATAGGGGATTGCTTCCAGGACCCCTAGGAAACCAAAATCCGTAGATCCTCAAGTCCTTTATAAAGTGATGTGGCATTTGCTTAGAAACTATGTACATCCTTCCTATGTTATTTTTTTGAAATAGATCTCCTTGTGACACCCGACTGACCCGGAACTCGAGATCCTCCTGCTTCAGCCTTCTGAAAGCTGGATTACAGGTGTGCACCACCACACCTGGCCTCCTGTATGTTTAAATCAACTCTAGATAATTTAGAATATCTAATACAGTGTAAATCTATGTAAATAGTTGTTAAGTTGTATTGTTTAGGGAGTAATAATAATAAGTCTGTACCTGTTAAGTACAGATTAAAAAATTAGAAAATATGTTTGATTCCCCTATTCATTGAATCTGCTGATGTGGAACCATGCACACTGAGGGCAGGTTGAGAAAGTAGATGGTTTTTCTTTGGGTGCTGGGGATTGAACTCAGGGCTTTGCACATGCTAAGCCTCTACCACTGAACGATACCCCAATCCCTAGAAAGCAAATTTTAAGTGTTATCACTACAAAAAGAAATGAGGTGAACATACGTTAAACAGCCACCAAATCCCCATTGAGCAACTAGGGCATGCCCATCAGAAGTTTTTCTACCTCCCCACTTCTTTGTGAACAAAACCAAGATCTGTCCCTTCTTGCAGCTTATGTTCTAGGAAAAGATAAAGAAAATAATAAACATAACAGGTAAGGAGATTCAGTTTGAAGATGACAAGTGCTATAGAACAATAGAAAGCAATAAAGGCTGTCAAGAATGCTGAGTGGGGGCTGGGCATGGTGGCTCACATCTGTAACCCCATCTACTTGAGAGATGTCAAGTGATCAGAAAGATTGCAGATCGAGGCCAGCCTGGGCAAAAAGAGCAAGACTCTCATCTCAACCAACAAACCAGGAGTGGTGGTGCATACCTGTCATCCAAGCTATGGCAGGAGGCATAGGTAGGAGGATCACAGTCTGAAGACAACCTGGGCAAAAGCATGAGACCAAACCTAAAAGCAAAAAGTTCTGGAGTGTTCTTGGAGTGTGACTCAAGAACCTAGCAAGTGTGAAGCCCGGAGTGCAAATCCCAAAAATGGAATGACAGAGGTTGAGATGAGACCATTGGCTGGAAAGATGGAGGAGAGTGGGTGCATCTGAGAAACACCTTGGAAGGTGAACTGAAAGGACCAGGAGCTAGCCTGTCTGGGGGGCTGCAGGAGGAGGAGGCAGAGGCAGAGCCAACATCTAGTTCTCTGCTTGAGCACTGGGACGGGCGTCCATAGTGTTCGTCAACATTAGAAAGACTGGAGGAGGGAGAGCTAGTGAAAGACTGAGGCTTTTGCAGGGGGATGTACTGGGATTTGAACTCAGAACCCCACATTTGCTATGCAGGCAATGCACTACTTAAGCCACGCCCCTAGCTTATGTATGGGGTACCTATGTGTTCTCAGCACTTCAGTTTCATTTTCTGTCTACACAGAGCTGGCTTCATCGTGTGGAGCACACAACATGTGGTCATTTTTATTATTAGTGTTATTTATTAGACACCATGTTGGTTCCATTTTCCATAGTTTACAATGAGAAAAACATGCTTTGTAATATTAGCATATCAGGTATATGCCCCAGGAAGACTTCTTCCTCTTGAAGCCTTCTATTTTTGTGCAATATTGATTCGTAAGTATTTTGACAGAAAAGTTGCTCAGAGAAGCTGTGCAATATTTGGGCTCTCATTCATACAAGACATGTTTTTGAGACTATCTTGTGCACCAAGACCTATGTATCTTCAGACTAAAAGAAAAAAAGATACTGACAGCTGGTGGCTGACACCTGTAATCCCAGCTACTCAGGAGACAGAGATCAGGAGGATTGTGGTTCAAAGTCAGCCCAGGAAAATAGTTCATGAGATCCTATCTTGAAAATTCCCATCACAAAAAAGGGCTGGCAGAGTGGCTCAAGCGGTAGAATGCCTGCTTAACAAGCGTGAGGCCCTGAGTTCAAACCCCAATGCCGCTGCCCCCCCCACACACAAAAAAAGCCAGAGACAGACTGGAAGGAAGTCTCATATAATATGAGACAATTGATAGAGAACAATTAAAAATAAAAATAGAAAGGGAGAGGAACAGGCAATTCACAGGAGAAAAAATATTTGAGGTGAAAAAATAGAAAATTGCTCAATGCATGCAGATAAGCATGAAAGTACAGAATATGACAAGTGTGAAATGAAACAGTTTAAGGTTTATTGACATACTACTGACACACAATAAATGACACAATATTTAAAGTGTACAAGAAGCTGGGCCTAGTGGCACCTACACAGAAATCAGGAGGCTGAGGTAGGAGAATCATAAGTTCAAGGCCAGCCTGAACTGCATACTAAGATCCTGTCTCAAAAACCAAACAACAGCTGTCTGTAATCCTAGCTACTTGGGAGGCTGTGATCTGGAGGATCACAGTTCAAGGCTGGCCCAGCAAAAATGTTTGTGAAACCCCATCTCAATGGAAAAAAAATAAGTGACGTGGTGTGCACCTGTCATCCAAGGAGGGTGGGAAATATTAAATAGGAACACTGAGGTCCAGGGGAACCTGGGCAAAAAGCAAGATCCTTCTCTGATTATCCAAAATAATCAGAGAAAAACGAGCTGAAGGCCAGGTGCTGGTGGTTCACACCTGTAATCCTAGCTACTGAGGAGGCAGAGATCAGGAGGATTCTGGTTCAAAGCCAGCCTAGAGCAAATAGTTCATGGGACTCTATCTTGAAAATACCCTTCACAAAAAAGGGCTGGTGGAGTGGCTGAAGACGGAAGCCCTGAATTCAAGCCCCAGTACCACAAAAAAAAAAAAAAAAGCTGGACGCGTGACTCAAGCTGTAGAATACCTGCCTAGCAAGCATGAAGCTCTGAGTGCAAACCCCACTCCCATCCAAACAAACAACAACAAATACGCTAAATAACAGAACTCCAACACAAGCTGCTGTGACCCTATATACATAAAGTCCTCAAAAGATAAATTAGATCTGTCTTTCTCTGGGGCTGGAGATAAGGAGAACAAAGTGAATGAAGTCATCTAGAGATGATGTGAAGTCTAGGGGAGGCTGTGCTCAGGTTCCACGCAAATACTGTGCCATTTTATGTCATTATTGGTTTTGAGACATGGTCCCATTGTGTAGCCTAGTCTGGCCTGGAACTCATGATCCTCCTGCTTAATCCTCTTGGGTGCTGGGATTACAGCCGTGAGCCACTGTGCCCAGTATCTCAGCTTTTCTGGATGGCGATTTGATAGCATCTTTTAAACGTGTCATTGTGGAATGACACAATGGGGAGGGGACCTAAGACCTTTAGGATAGAATAACAGCTATTAAAGGAAGAAGGAGCTACATTACCAATAAACTAAGGCTTGACTGAATGTTTGATGGGAATCAGGATATTTAATTGCCAAGTTCTGCTCCTTAGATTACTCATTAATTATAAAGGGGAAACTGCAGAGAAATCTGGTGGAATGTACTTTTTGATACCAAGATGTCAGAGTTAACATCACCAATAATAGGATCACATTGACACTGTGTTTTCAAAGCGAGGGACATAATATTGCTTAGTTTCTTGCGAAATGGATACATATGAGACAGACCCTCTCTCTCTTCCTTCTCTCTCTCCCTCTGGTCTTATTTTGGCAGTACTGGGGTTTCAACTCAGGGCCTCACGCTTGCTAGGCAGGGGTTCTACCACCTGAGCCACTCCATCGGTCCTTTTTTGTGATGGGTTTTGAGATAGGGTCGGTCTCATGAACTATTTGCCTGGGCTGGCTTCCAACCATGATCCTCCTGATCTCTGCCTCCTGAGTAGCTAGGATTACAGGAGTGAGCCTTGACGTGGTTATATATATATGAGTGTTATTTTGAAAACTTTTTTTTTTTTTTTGAGATAGGGCCTCACTATGTAGCCCAGACTGACCTGGAACTAGTAGTGATCTTCCCGCCTCTGAGTGCTGGGTTTGCAGGTATGCCAGGCACAGCTGGCCAGTTTGGACTGAGTGTCCCCAAAGCCCCACGTTAACATAATGCTGGTGGGAGATGGCAGTGCCTTTAGGAGGCAGGGCTTAGTGAGAGATCTGGGGTTGCCCAGTGACCTCCCAGGGGCTCTTGGGACCCTGGTCCCTCTCTCTTACTTCACTTCAGGCCATGAGGTGAATAGCTTTTCTCTATTACACACTACCCCTCCCCCCACGACGGGCCACCTCGCCACAGGCCCAAAAGAACAGGACCATGGACGGAAACCTCCTCTTTATAAGGTGATTATCTCAGGCGTTTGTTAGTCACAGAAAGCTGACTGACACAGCGTGGTAGTGAGCAGATGCGTTTTAAAGGGGTTGGACTTTGTTTCTTGATCTGGGTGCCAGTGGCATGGGTGTATTGCCTTTTCGAAAAGCCATCCAGGAGTTTACTTGTCATCTGTGCACTTTTGAGTATGCCAACACTCAAAAGATAATTAAAAGGCACAGGAGGAGGAGGAGGGGGAGAAAGGAAGAGAGGAGGAGGGTGAGGAACCCCTTAAGTCTACAACATGACAACAGCTATATGTGCTGAGTAGAATCTACCTTGTGGTTATGGCGGGAGTTTTTGGGTTTATCTGCACCCTAGAGTTCACAACTGATGGATTCCATTTTCACCCGATCTCTTTTCAGGCAACTCAGGATGTCCCTGTCCTGCTGATCATCTTCACGCATCCTGGCGGTCCCACCTGAGCACATCCGCTCGGCAGGAGCCCCTGCTTAGGTGTCTTCCCCCAACTGTGGCAGAAGCAGCGCTAAGAGCACCCGGCCATGCGGGTTCAGCACCAGCCACGGTGGGGTCTGCGTGGAGCGGCCGGGCCCAGCACGCCCCCTGCCGGCAGAGCGCGCGATCGCGCCAGCTGCTCATCGCCTGCGCCCCGACTCACACTTTGAAATAGATTTTGCAAGAGTGGGGTGTGGAGGCACACTTAACACTGGGTTTTCAACTGACTCACTTTGGGGTGAGATATTTTCCCATATCGAGAAACATCCTAGAGTCCGCGATCTAGGTTATTTTTGCTGGTGGCCAAATGCCTTGGTATTTTGTTTGACACTTCTATTTGGGGCCTACTGTGTGTTGGTTGGTAATGGCACCGGAAAGGTCTTTGTGCCATGACACTGTGGACACCAAGCTGGGTCCTTCTCTTGGGAAATCCTGGGCCCTGCAGGGTGCTGAGCAACATCCATCCAGAAACTCCATCCAGGAACTCCCCAGTTGTGACAGCCACACGTTTCTCCCAGTGTTCCCAGGGAGAAAACCCCACCCATTTGGGAACCATGCCATTGATGAGCGTGGAGCAGTGGACCACCTCAAATTCAAGGGTCCAACCTACTGCCAGGACCCAAGTCACAACTCACACTAACCCACACTTACGACAGTTATATTAAAAATTCATCCATTTCCAGCTCAGGCAGGAGTGAGCCGTAATGACGACACACTTGTCACCGGACCATGTGGAGTAGTCCTGGATGCCAGGATGACACACTGACAGCACCTCCTCTTTCCCACCACTCTGGTAATTCCAAAGAGGGAATCACCCTCTTTGAAGAGGGGCTGGGCCTGGGGTGAATCAAGGTGCCGAGAGGGTCACCCCAGAAAGGGAGACACCAAGATGGGACACATAGCTCATGTTTTAGCATCCACTAATGCTTTTTGCAGTGGGGTTCCCAAACTGGTCTTGAATGCCAAGCTGAGAAAGGGGCTGGCTGCGTGTATGAAGTGGAACCCAAAGATGGCGTCAGCATCCTCAAGCTGTGGTGTATGTCTGTCTTGCAGCACACATCCAGGCCCCAGGATGAGGTACTGTCAACTTGACAGACGTGTGGCTTAAGCCATAGAACATCTTGTCTAGCAAGCTTCTCAGTCTCACAAACGAAATTACCGATCATGCTGGCTCACACCTATAATCCCAGCTTCTTGGAAGGTGGAGATCAGGACAGCAGTCCAAGGACAGCACGGCAAAAGCTAGTGAGACTTCCCCATCTCAACCAATAAAGAGCTGGGCACAGTGGCTGACACTCTGTCATCCCTCCACATGGGAAGCATAAATAGGATTGCAGTCCAGTTCAACCCAGGCAATAAGCATGAAACCCTATTCAGAAAATAACGAGGGCAAAAAGAGCTGAGAGCATGCTGAAGTGGTAGAGGGCCTGCCTAGCAAGCGCAAGGCCCTGAGTTCAAATCCCGTACCAGCAAAAACAAAAAAGCATCTTCCTCAAGCTTCCTGGGATGCTAGTGCTGCTGGCTAGGGCACCATGTGGAATGACTCTAGGGTTTCTCAGCCTGTATGAAGAGGAGGTCTGCCCTACCACCAGTGTAGTCTGGTGTCAGTGGAACAGGGAGTCAACTCAATTGTTTTCCAAGTAACGAATGCAGGGTGCACTCAATACTGTGGACACTGGCTCCACCCACTACCTAGCAGGGTCTCCCCAGTCATCTGCATAACTTTTTTTTTTCTTCAGTACTAGGGTTTTGAACTCAGGGCTTTGCACTTGCTAGGCAGGTGCACTACTGCTTGAGCCAGGTCTCCAGACCTGTATTTTGTAACTCTTCCTGCCATCTGCAGAAGCAAACAGCAGGTAATGGTGAACCCTGAATCCCACCTGGACTCTTCACCTGTGACTGAAGCAGTGGTGATGGTAGTGGCTGCCTGTCATGGCACAGGTCTGCAGCCAGCCACAAAGCATGGCTTTACCTGGTTTTGCTATTTCCTGGCTAGGTGACCTCAGGTCCTGAGCTGAGGTCCTATCAGCTTGCTACAAACAAGAGTCAAGCCCACAAGACGTCTGGTGCCACTTATGTCACAGCACACCCCACAGCTCTGGACCCTGGGCCTCTTTCACACTCCACAAGAAGGGAAGGTGCTGGAGCCTTGAGGCCACCCTCTGGACCCATCTCAGGAGGTATACAGTTCTAGGTCTTGTGGTGTCCACATATGCCCCTGGGCTTTCTGGAGGTCTGCAGGAGAGGGGGATGGTGGCAATCAAAGGTCAAGGCGAGAGGAACAGAGGCCACGATGTCTGTTTATTCCCCACACGGCTTGTTCCTCAGCACGGTTCCTGGCGCCGCCTGCAGGGAGGCTGTGGGGTCTCTGAGGCCCTTCTCTCTACTGACTACATACACATGGAACTGCCTCTACCTCACACATGACCCTGACCGCCACCTCGAACCATCAATGGCCTGGGGTGCTGTGAGCTCATTTCCTCCCCACAGCAACCAAAGCAGCAGGGACAGCACAGTGGCCACACTTCCTGGGCGAGCCTCCACCCCTAGAGGCAACTCTGCTGGCTGTTTCCTAGGGTTGAGGGGGCGGCAGAGGGTCCCTAACCCTGAAAAACCCACTGGGGACCCCAAGTCTGCTGGACACCAATGGGCTTAAGGAGAGCAGGAGAGGACACAGACAGGCCAGGTCATCATGGTCTCCCTCCGCCCAGGGCTAACAGCACAGCCGGGTGCACAGAAGGTTGTGACTGGCTGTCACCCATGAGGACTGGAAGAGGAGGGTCGGAGGAAGCGAGCCACGTGCCTGTCCACACTCTCAGCTGGAAGAAGTGATGGAACCCAGTCCTGTGTGCTCCAGGATGTGCTGGCTGAGGGGGCGCGGGAGGCAGGAGCTGTCTCCCACGGCTTGTGGGAAGCTGACGCCCAGACCAGGACAGCCGACAGGTCTACTGAGGTCTTTGAAGACAGGTCAGGGGTAGGGCAGGTGCTTCAGAAAGGCTCCTGAGGCCATGTGTGCACCACGTGGCTCCTGTCACACCTGCTGCTTCTGAGAGCGGCTGAGGCGCACCCCTGGGATTCTAGAAAATACTTCAGCAACTGACGGGCTGGGAGGAAACGCGTGCTGGTCTGCACGCAGCTCGCTGGCTCTTTTCTTGAGAAGGGCCGGGGGCCTGAAAGAATACAAAAAATGGAGGGAGGGGCAAAGAAAGAAACAGGGGAAAGTCCATCTTAACATGCAGGTCCAATTTCTTGTTCTTTTTCTCTCTTGGACAGTCCGCCAGGAGAAAATGCCAAGACCCCAGAGGGCTGCCAGCCGGTGGAAGGACAGGATCGTGCTGTCAGCTGGAGGAAAATGGACAATGGCAGTTAGAGCTGCGGTGGGCTGAGGCTCACACGCAAGGGTGCAAGGGCTGGGGTGTTGTGACTGCAAACAAAGTTAACGTCACAGTCCCCTTGGACATATCGCAAACATGATGGCTGTGTGGGGCTGGGGGCTGGCTGCTAGGTTAGTGCAGAAAGAGAACAATGGCCATTGTCCAGAAAGCTCTGTTGACAGTAGACATGAAAGTGCTGGTGGAGGTACTTTGGGAACAAGGCTACAATGGATATAAAGCGATCTCAACTATGTTTTACTTAAAAAGCTTATGGAAAAGGGCTTATGGAAAAAGCACAAAGAAAAGTGCCCCAAATATGAATGTGTGTAGCTCTGGGTAGAAAACAAAAGCTGTTTTTGAAGCTTCTTGATGTTTTCCTTTTTAAAATGTCTCTAGAACAATCATGGTGACAAAATTCAAGAGTGTGGCCTGGTGCAGTGGGGCATGCCTGCCATCCCAGCTGTGTGGGAAGCGTAAACAGGAGGATCTCGGTCCAGGCACACCTGGACATAAACATAAACCCTATCAGAAAAATAATTAAAGCTGAAAGGGCTGGTGGGGTGGCTTAAGTGGCAGAGTGCCTGCCTAGCAAGCACAAGGCACTGAGTTCAAACCCTGGAACTGCCAAATAAAAATAAATACAAATTTAAGTTTTGTGGGAGGGGCGGGTGAGCAGAGGGACAAGGAGACAATGACAAAATGAAACAAGGTTACATGAGAGCAGAATGCAAACCTCTCCCTAGGAGGCCCATGGGCCATGGCTCCTCTGTCCTGGGGTCCATCTTCTAGTGACAGAAGAGACTGAGCTCAGGCTCGTGGGGACATGAACAAAGGTAGCCTGAGACCCACCTGGAATCCCAGGGCGCACTCTAAAGCAATCCTAACTACAGCACCTGTTCTCAGCAAAACACCCGACCCAGAACATGGAGCATGGTGTCAGAGGTACCAGCTACCATTCTCCACCCCTCCTACACACACATTGTGTATGTGCAAAAGAGTATTTTGCTAGTGCCCCCTTGAAAAGGAGCTGCCCGACTATCAGCTACCAGCCCTTCCTGGAGCCTTGGGGCATCGACCCTAGGCCTGATCCAGATGGGACACAGGAGCAGGCAGACCCAGGGCAGTGTGTCCCAGCCTGAGGAGTTGGGAGCTGTCCACTCACCTGGCCACTCATTCCTGCTGCTCATCGTTGCTGGCGCTGGGGGTCCGGCTGCGGATCTCACTTCGGAGCTGCTCAATCAACTCTGGGTTCTGCTGTTGCATCTGTTGGGCAAACTGCTGGCCCCTGCAAGACAGTGGCGCGGCTCAGTGGTGGCCCCAAGACACCACTCCCCAACCTGAACCCTGAGACCGCTGCTCTCCAGAGCAGCACCCACGCTCGCTGGAGGACGACATGGCCTCTGTGCTCCTCCTTCTGCCCACCCATGACCCCAGCGAGCTCTACTCACGCCTGAATCAGGCTGGCTAGGTCGTTCTGTGAGGGGCTGGTGCCAGGAGTCCCCAAGGGGTTGTGACTGCCTGAAATCATCCTGGACATGCTGTGGGTAGAGAACCTGTGAGTTACAGACCTGACAGCCCAAAACACCTGTCCCCACTGAGGCCCTCTTCTTTTTTTGAGACAGGGTCTCACTATGTAGTCCAGGCTAGTCCAGAACTCACTACCCTCCTGCCTCAAACTCCCGAGTGCTGGGATCACAACAATGCCACCACACCCAGCTAGAAGGCAATTCTTTCACAGCTCCTGCCCTTCTGAAGCAGCCGTCTCCTGTTCTGCCTAGCAGCCCCCCAGGTCTCCCTATCCCCAACTCCCTCACTCCCCCAAGTCCTATGACTTTCCCAGGAATGGTCCTTTTTGGCCCAAAGACACTGGTTGCCGTGACTAGGACTATGGGGTGCTCTTGGCCTGGAGTGAGTGAAGGTCAGGACTCTGCTCAACACCCTGCAGTACCCACGCCCACCTCAGAGAAGGAGCCAGACCCAAATGCCAGCAGTGTCGTGGCTGGGAAAGTGCTTTAAGATCTGATTCTGAAAGCAGCCTGGTGGTGCCTCAGTGAATTAAATAATTTCTATCTGACCCAGGGGTCCTACCATATTCCCTGGAGGACTGAAGACAGGGGCTCAAAACCTTGCGCCCCAGTGTCCACAATGACATGATTCAGAGTAGTCAAAATATGGACACAGCTCCGTATTCATTATGGATGAATGGACACACATAAGGTCCATCCACATGATGAAATATTAGCCACAAACAGGAATGGGGCTCTGACCCACACTATAACATGGAGGGACCCTGAGAAAGTTGTGCTCAGTGAGAGAAGCAGACACACAAGACCCCTCAGCATGTAACCCCATCGACAGGAAACGTTCAGAACAGGAGAATCCATACACAGGAAGTGGACTCATGGGGCGAGATGCGAGGGCCTCCTTTGGGGTGACAGAATGTTCAAGTAGACAGCATGACACTGAATGCACTCAGTGCCACCGAACTGCACACTGGAAACTAGCTAAAATCTTCACAGTAAACATGAGCACAAGCAGATCAAAGAACAGCCACAACCGTCACTTACAGCTGCTGGAGTTGAGGGTTGTTCATCAGGTTTGATGCCTGAAAAACAGAGCACATCTGTCAGGGAAAGGGGAGCCTCTGAGCCCATCACACTCTTCACAGGGGCTCGCTTGCTATGTGGCTACCAGGGTGGTCTCGAACTTGTGGGCTCACGTGAGCCTCCTGCCTCAGCCTCCTAAGTAGCAGGACACATTATTTTCTTTAAATGAATATTTTCCTTTTCTTTGGGGTGCTGAGGATAGAGCCCAGAGCCTCACAAAGCAGATATGCACTCTGCCACTGAGCCACACTCCAGTGTTTGGTTTTGAGGTCATGGTCTTGCTGTATAGCCCAGGCTGGCCTGGAACTCGTGCCTCAGTCTCCCAAGTATTGAGATGACAGGGGTGGCAACCACCCTGGCTAGCTCTGTTGAGGGTGATTTCTTGTGGGCAGTCAGGCCTGCCCAGGTGGTGCATCTGTCCTTCACTTTAGGTGCCGCTGGCATTAGAATACATGGGTGGTTTCTAGCTGGATTCTAGAGAAATGGTGTGGTCCTGAGCATTTTCCTGCACTAACTTCCATTTGAATTATTTCTTAGGACCTCCTTAAAGAAGCAGAGGAGTAGGAAATTTCGGGGCATCGTCCAGGTTTGGCTGAGGGACACAGCTCCTTGGTGGAGGGCCAAGGTGAGCATTTTCATTTTTGCCAGCCATGGGGTCTCTGTGACTTTCAGAACCTGTCAACCCAACAACGCTAAGGTCGGGAGTCAGCGACCACTGCTTCATCCCACAATGGGGAAGGATCCTGTTTGCTGCCCCTACCAGGGGCCTGGAGCCACAATGGAAAGGTGGCCTCCACTGTTCCCTCCTCTGCCTGCTCGGGAAGCTCAGACCAGACAGTCACTGCAGTGCAGGGCTATGGCACACACTGTGCAGTCAGACAGTGGTCAGAACACCCAGTGGGGCCAGCCCTGCTGCACATGCTGGTGTCCTTCTCACCAGCATGCTACCACTGGAGGGTGGGGACTGAGGCTGGGGCACCTGGTATCCTGTCTTATCTCCCCTAAACCACAGCATCCTTACACTGAGGCAGCACACGCGGATTGGGCCTGGGGTGGGAAGAAGGGCTGAGCTTACCATGCTCATGAAGCCTGGGTTGTTCAGCAGGCCGGCGATGTCGAAGCTGCCCATGCTTCCCGTCTGGGGACAAGAGCAACACGGGTTAGTGGTGCAGAGCCCCAGGGGCTCAGGAGGCCCAGCAGCCTGGCCAGTGACAGCCACAGCCACAGGGTGCTTGGAGCTGCAAGGCAGGAACCTGAGTGGCTACTTCAGGAAGTCTTGTAGCCACACCCTTCATTTTCTGCATTCTGAGGACTCCCTGCTTCCCACAGACAACCAGTAACTGCCTTTCAGGGGCAAACCCACCCAGCCTTGTCATCCTCCAGACTCCAAGTAGGGTACCATCTACTTGCTTGCCCTCATCTCCTCATCCCCAGGCCCAGTCCCCACACCCAGGTCCTGCCAAAGTGACCCCAACCAGCCAGTCCTGAGCCTGCTGCCCTGCAAGACCACAGTGGGGGCCGCTGTCCACTGTTTCCTGTCCCCTCTGCCTCATGGCCCTGTGTGAGGTGCCATGCCCATTTCTAGACATTGTATTAACTCCCCTCAAGACAGTCACCTTGTGTCTGTATGTCTGGTACCCTTGCCCCATGCAGGTTCAGCCAGGCCTCTCCTGCCAAGTGACCTGATCCCGCCTCCACCACGAGAGGTGAGCACTGAACTTACAGGACTCGGTGCCTCCCTCAGCTTTAGCTCTGCGATCTTGAGGTTGGACTTGTAAGTGTCATTGTCAGGGTCCAGCTCCAGGGCCTTCTTGTAGTAGGCCACAGCCTCGGCATGCTTGTTCAGGCTGGACAGCGCCAGGCTGGGGACAAGAGCATGGTGAGGGACCCAGAGAAGCCTTTCTCCAGCCAGCTCTCCCCAAGGCCTCAGACAGATGGCACCCAGCCTCCCACTCCCCACCTCTAAGCTCTGCAGGGCATCGTCCCATCCACCGTCTCGGAGGAGACACGTGAGGGGAGCCCAGACACAGCAGGAGGCCTCTGTGAAGTCACACGAGGCACCCCTGTGGCTGAGGATGAGTGGGGGCAGAGGTTACAGGCAGGTAGAATGGCAAGAAATAGGTTTCTCTTTGTTCTGTGAGTTTCTTGAATGGCAGATGTGATTTGTTGTGTTAAGAAGTCCCTTCACTACTGAGGGGACTCAGGCGAGACCCCCAGAGTCTCAGCAGAGGACACAGGCTCCTGAGGACCGTGCCTGCTTGCTCACACCTCTGTGCTGTACAAGAGCCTTTGTGATGGACCACACAACCAGAGAATCTCCTGGAGTTCTGGGAGGCAGCCTAGCAAGTGACCTGAGGTGGAGAGGGCTAGTGGCTGGCACCGGAAGGGGTGGCCTTGTGGAGCTGCACTACTCAGGATGTTGTGCAAACATAGTGGCAATGGAGAAGTGGCCACTGGTGTGGAAAAGCCATGGGAGAGGAGCAGAAAACCCTGGCCCTGGCCCACTCACCCCATGCGGCCATAGGCCTTGCTGTAGGCAGGGTCAATGCAGATAGCTCTCTCGCAGTCCTGCACGGCCCCAGCGTAGTTCCCCAGCTTGCTGTAGGCTGCGGCTCTGGGGAGACAAAGGCAGGTGGGCAGCTCGACAGCGGCTCAAGGCCCACGCCCCCACCCCGCGCTGCCAGGAGGACATGGAGACTTGGGCTGGCCCACAGCAGACGGGCAGCCATAGCACCGGATGGAACAGAGTTGCTGGACTCCACCATGCAGCTCCTCCCACCTGGGCCAGGGAGGCCTGCTAATCTCAGCATGTGCTGCATGCTCGTGACGGGGGAACAGAGTGGATGGTTGAGCCTGGCCACATCCTGTTGGTGCCTCAGTGTCCTCATCTGTCTGAGGGCACAAGAACTCACTCTCACTGGGTAAGCAGGAGACTGAGTTAAATTACACAAAGTCCCCAGCACAAGACGTGGCATGGGGCCACTAGCACACCACTGGCCAGGGTTCCAGCATGAGTGCACAGTGAGGTCATGTGCCCTGGAGACAGAAACGAAGCCTCGACCACGGGGTGACCTGACTGCCACCTCACATGGTAGCCGGCTTCCCTGGGGCAGGTAGGAAGGAATGTGGTCTTGGCGGGACCTGTCCAGGGGACAGTGCATAGCCAGTCACCTCAGCAGTCAGCCTAGCCAGATGAAACTTGGTTTTGTCCTAATCCTTCTTGTTCCACTGAAGAAAGGAAACAGGGCTGGGATGTGGCTCAGTGATAAGCGCTTGCCTAGCACACTGAGGCCCTCGGTTCATCCCCAGCATGGCAAAAAAGAAAAAAGACACCCAAACAGTAACCTGTCCCTGTTCAAAGGGGTCTTTTCCAAGACGCTGCCCAGTGGGTGCCTGAAACTGCGGATGGAACAAACCCTGCCTGTACTGTGCTTTTGCCTACCAGACTTAACTAAAGCAAAGTATGGGATTAACAGCCACACAACAAGAGTTCACAATTAGAATGAGAGCAGGTTCAAACCCCAGTACCATCAAAGAGGCAGGGGGAGGGGAGCGCAGGAAAGACCCACTTTTCCCCGCTAGAAAAGCTCCTGAACAACCGTGTGGAGTGCTCCTGTGTCTGCTCATTCTCTGGCCCAGTGTCCAGGTGGGAATTATGGTGAGTGACAGTCATGTCACTACTAACTCCCTGATGGCCTCCCTGGCAGCCTGATCCTTGTCCCTTACTTGGAGCCTCAAATTCGCCATCTCTGGGCTGTAGTGCTCAGGCCACCTAGCTGCCCCTGCCCCCCAACACCCAGCAGTACCTGTTGCAGAAGTAGACGGCGTTGGCAGGGTTGAGCTCGATCGCCTTTCCGTAGAGATGCACGGCAGCTTCGAAGTTTTCCACCTTCATCTGCTCGTTTCCTGAAGGAAGGACAAAGAGTGCGCTCAGGCTGCGCACTACAGACCTGGGCCTAGACCCTGGATCGTTGGGATCTACGTGGTGTCCTCTAGTCCTGTGCCCTGCTTGCCACACCCATGAGCGGCAGAAGCGGCCTGTGCCAGGGAGCAGTGTCAATTGTCATTCTGGTGACCCCCAATTGACAGGATCCTTAACATGTGGCTCAGCCCAGCACCCCTTTTGCTTTGTTCTCTGGGAGTGGCTGAAGTGGAGGCCACCCTCTACAGTACGTAGTCCCTCAGTGTCCTCGGGGACTGATCCAGGACCTCCCCATGGATGCTAAAGTTCCTTGTATAAAATGGTGTGTTTGATGGGTTCAATCCACACGGTGGGATCTGCAGGTGAGGAAACCACAGATGGGGAGGGGACAGCTGAAACTGGTGGATGTCTTCTAACTCCACAGACAATCTGGCCTTTTGGAGGCACGCGTCCTGATTTCAATGGTGGTGGTTGGGCATCTGCATGTATTTTTAAAAGTTTTACTGAGGCAGGTAACGCACATGCTTTAAGACAACTCAGTCACTTTTAGTACATTCAGTAAGTTGTATGGTCATGACTCCATTTCCAGAACATTCCATAATCCCAAAAGTAGCCCCATCCCCACAAGTGTCACCTGCCCCCTCCCCATCCTGGCCTGCATGAGTCCACTTCCTCTGTGGATTTGCCCGTTCTGAACGTTTCCTATCAATGCAGCCACTTGCTGGGACCTTTGTGACACATCAGAGCTTTGTGCTGTGTATGCCAAGTGATGCTTCTGTGTGTGTTGGGGGTGGGTATGGGGAGCATGCTTCGTGCCTCGTCCCCCATGGATGGACACCATCCAGCTGCTGTGAGCATGTCCAGTAGTGTCTGGGTGATCCCACTGTCACCTCCCCGAGGTGTGCATCCACAAGTGGGCTGGCCAGCCACACACACTGTGCTAAATCTTGAGCACTCCATTTCCCACACTACTTCTGTCACTTCCCACCCACCAGTCAAGCTTAAGGGTCCAATTTCTCCACTTTATGCTGTGATGCCCCCGTCCCCATCTCCATCCTCACAGGCCAGCTTAATGACCACTCTCCACACTTCCCTTCACCATCTCTGTCTCTCCCAGCAGGGCAGGCACCCATGGGACAGAGTTGGGACAGAACTGCCTCCTCTCACCTTCAGTTTTGAGGCGCTCTGCCTCTGCCAAGTCCTCCTCAGAAGGTGGGGTCTGCTCAGGGGTCCTCAGGTCCTGCGGCATCTCCTGCCCAGAGGCAACACAACCCCACTGTGCTCCTGGTCCAACCCATCCCAGGTTCATTTTCCCTCACTGGACCTGGGAACCTTGAGGGACCTCAACACCACTGGGCCCCATCTCAGCAAGAGGACAGCAGTGCCCCTCTCAGCCATGGGGACACAGGTGACATTCTGGGTTTCTCATGGACACTGCCACTGCTGCTTTTATCTTTGGGGTGGGAGTAGGTGAAAGGGGGCTTACCTTGCCTGAAGCGGCTGCTTCAAATATTTCTGGCAGAGTCTGAGGAAGTGCCAGGTCGCTGTCCTCCACTGTCACCCCAAAGGCAGTCTCCAGGCATTGGATGGCAACTGTAAGAAAAGATGGGGTGTTTTGTCCACAGCCTCCTAGACTCTCTGGATACAATGCAAAGTGCGTGTTTCCGCCTGTTCCAACTATGCTTTTTTTTTGCCCAAAGGTCCCCAACACACTCATTGCTGGTGCCCCTTATGGGCTCCTTCGTTTCTACCAACCTCCTGCCTCAGAAACCCAGGATGGTCAGATGTGCCACACGCCATGACAGCAGGGCAGGCAGTGACACAGGGACTCAGTTGGGGGGCCTCAGGCCCCACTGTGGGGTCACAATGCAGGGGCTACTTGGCTGAAGGGCAGTGAGGCTCAACCTGGCCTGAGACAGGAGCCTGAGATCACCCGAGTATGTCCCTCTGCACCAGCACTGGACACCACACACAGGACAGAAAATGACCATGGAACCACTCTTCCAGTTTGCCCACACAGCTTGCTGTGCAGTCAGGTGAGGCCGTGGGGGCCATCCACATCCTCTGGAAGGCAGTGTCCACCCTGTGGTCCTCCCCACCCCCATCCATTGGAGCCTCGTTCCAAAGTCTATACGTGAAAGGCTTGGTAGCATCTAGTAATGAGAGGAAGGCTCAGGCTGTGCCTTCAGTGGAAAAGGAGGGTTAGACAGGAACCCACCACCCTGAGGCTGCCCAGAGCTTTTCTCTCCCTCCTCAGATATGGTGTCTCAAGTTCCACACGGGGAAGACAGCCAGACCAAGCTGGATGCCAGAGTCTGGGAGCTTGGGACAGGGATGCACCCACTGAGGAACCAAGTAAAACGTTCTAGATCCACACCTTGATGGAGATGACAAAAACATGAGAAGCCTTTGCATAAAGCCTGCCAGCGAGAGCAGCACTGTGTGGGAACAGCCAAGGGCCAGCAAGCAGAGTGCTTGGCTCTGTCCCTGGTTCTGTCCCTCTCCAGACCATTTTTTCATCTGGGAACTGAGGACACCCCATGGTTCAGGCAGGGTGAGGTGTGCCTACCTTCCAAGCTCTCCTGGGCGTCAGATGAGAGCCCACCATGCCGGAGCTGGTCCTGTAGAAACTGGATGATGGCGTAGGCCAGACGCTTCCGGCTGTCCATCTTGAGATGGGAGAGGCGACACAGGGTGCTCAGGATCTGTGGGTCCAAGCAGAGACCTTGGTGAGTGCTAGGGACACTTGACACATCCGCCAACCTTTCCAACCACCAGACTAGTCACCTGGCTTGCCCCACCCTGCCTGTCCTGACACCAGGGAGAGTTGTCTCGAGTGCACTGGCCAATAGTGTCATGGCCACCAAGGTAGGCCACATCATAGACGGGAGAGGGGCTCACTGATCTGCCAGTGCACACAGAGTCTGACCTGGTACCAAGGACCATCATGGCCAAAGCCACAGATGCTGCCTCTGGCAAGCCCCTTCCTTGACTTATCTCCTCGGTGGCATGCCAGTGAGCATTAATTCAGCACCTTGGGCCCCAGGGTTCTTTGAGAACCTCCCTTCTCCTCAGTCCCCACTCCCAGAGCGTGGCAGGTGCTGTAGCTCATGGTCCCCAGATTCCCCAGCAAAGCTCTAGGGGGCAGCAGACAGTGACACCAGGAGAGCTCTAGAATCTGGAGATATGGCCTATGGACAGTGCCTTTCTTCCCACGGCATCGTGGGTGCCCCAACTGATTGGGAGAGAATGGGGTGGCAGTGACCTTCCTGGTGTCAGACAATGGCCCTGCCAAAAGCTGCCTGTGCTTGTCACAGGGAAGGGAGGGAGCATAGCAGGGCTGCTGGCAGTGCTGCTCCAGGCCAGCTTAGCCTCACTGGGCCCTTACCTGCCCCTGGAGACAGTGGGCAACCCCAAACACTCTGGCCAACAAACAGTCAAGAGGAGAAGCAGGGACACCCAGGGCACCTGATCCTGTAGGACAGTGTCCCCAAAGTCTCACCCCCTAACCTAAGAAAGGGCTTATGTGGAAGTAAGGTGTGTAAGGAGATCAATACCAGGTCAGGAGGGTGGCCTTGATGCAATGACTAGTGTCCTTGCAAAAGGAGGGACACCTTGACAGACACACACGAGGGAGGAGATGCAGACAGAGGCAAGGAGCATGAGGACTTCAGCAGCCAGCAGAGGCTGGAAGAGGCAGAAGAACCCTCCTAGAGGCTCAAGGGAGTGAGGAGGCCACTGCCAGACTGTGGACTTCCAGATGTAGAATCAACCTGTTGTTCAGCCTCTCAGCACGTAGCTATTTGAGACCACTCGAGTCCCTGGACGTGAAGGAGGGGCCAGGACAGTTTTAAGTCACTGACTAAGGTTGTGTGTGAGGCATAGCCCATGAGGAGGACGCCCTGTTGATCTCTGAGCTTCTGGGAAGCCACAGCTGGGCCTCGGGTGTCCAAATAGGACTGATAAATATCCATCATGGCTGCCTGTCAGTCTGGGAAACAATAACCAGAAAGTCCCCAGCCCAACACTCAACGTCCTACAACCTATCATTAACACTAACTTCTCAAGGTAAGTGGCACGGTGTAGGCCTGGCTTGGCTGTTTTGGGCTGTTTAACCTTGGGGAAGTGACCTAACTCTCCTGAGCCTCAGTTTCCTTCATCACCTGGAGGTGGTAGCAGCAGCTCTCTAATAGGGCAGCTGTGAGAAGGAGCACATGGCCTCATGGGGCTGGTGCTTGTGCTCTGGGAGGAGGCTCTTCCTGAGTGTGCACCAGAGCAGCCAGGTCCCTGCAGGCAGTGACTGTCCCTGGGGCAGGTGGAGGCAGAGGGGAGCCATCCTCCAAGGCTGAAGCAGCAGTGGAGTGGTTCCTCCAGGGTTGAAGTGCAGAGTGATCCAGAATGCTGGGCAGCCTGGTAGAGGGCAGAGCCCTGTACCTTCTGTCCCCTCCAGGCTGGGTGCTTTCCTACACAGGCCTGTGGTGCCCTGGGCCAGGCCTGGCCAATGCTGCCCCTCCACACTACCTCCTGTCTCTCTGTAGAGTTGGACCAAGGCAGTGAGAGATGGGGCTGGCCTTTCCAATGCTCCTCTCATAGGGCACGGCAGCCATTTTTCTGTTGTGACCCGGGCATTGAGCATCCAGGAAGTGGGGTGCAGAAGGTAGACCAGAGATTCCAGGGCACGCAAAGTGCCTCCATCGGAAGCAGGGTGCTGTGCACACAGGTCAGGGACCTCTGTCACCGGGGCCTGGCCAGAGGCTGACTAGGGACAAACCAGGCCAGAGGGTGTTCACTCCTTCTGCCCGTCACAGCTCTTTGAGGTGCTCTGTGACTGCTATGCTTTACACACTGGGCCAGCTTTCAAAAAGCAAATAAAGTACCAGGAAGACATGAAAGGTAACCGCAGCCCAGGACCTAGGAGGTCCATGACAGAGACAGTACACCTGGGGCTTGCTACCAGGTCCCCTGCAAAACAGGTGCCCATGACTACGTGTACGTGGGTATGAGTCCTATCTGCCCAACACCGTGAGGGCTAAAGTGTATCCCCAGAACACCACACAGTGAAGTCCTAGTTTCCCTGAACCTGGAACAGAAGCATGTGTAGGGTCGGGGTCTACAAAGAGGTGATGAGGGGAAAAGGAGATAGGGAACAGGGAGAACCCATGTGAGGATGCAGGTAGACACATACAGGCCAGCGACCCCAAGGCCCACCAGCCACCAGCAGACATGGGGAACAGCCTGGGGTGGATGCCCTTTCCTGGTGTTGGAGGGAGCCAGCCCCTGGTCCTGGGCTTCCAGCCTGCAGAACTCTCAAAGGTCAAAGTTCTGCTCTTTAGGCCCTGCAGCATATGGCACTTTGCTGTGATAGCCAGAGCAAATCAAGGCAAGGTCCCGTCCCCAGACAGCTCCAAGCAACAGGTTGGCCCTATTTTTAGATGAGCCGATTCAGGCACAAGGCCTGGTACCCAGCCCAGGGTCAGCTGTAAGGACGCATGGGCTGTCAACACGGAGGCAACCATGTGTCCACTCACAAGGGACATGGCCCAGGGACAAAGGATAACTGGCCATGCACTCCTAGGGACCCACAAGCCAGTGGCCAGGAGAGTAGTTCTTGCTTCTAATAGAAGGAAGTTTCACAGCATTGCTCTACAAACATCCACTTTAATAACACGTGCCCGGTGTCCAGGTGCCACACATGTGCCTGCATGTAGATGCACACAGACCTTCAGGACACTACCCTGAGGTGGCCTCGGGTGAGCCTCTGGACCAGAGGCAGAGGCTCAAGTCTCAGCCTGCAGCAGCTTTTGGCCAGTGGTCGTGAAACACCTGCCACACATGTCCAGAGAATTCACAGCTTTTGAGAAGCGGTCTGTCTATGCTGCCCAGCTGTCTCCAAGTTCCGGGTTCAGCCTCCCAAGTGCTGGGGTGACCACCAAGCCTGGCTTGACAGAGAATCACTAATGAACAAACTAATGACCCTAAGACCAGCCTTCTACAAGAGGTAGATCCTAAAGGACCTGCGGTACTGGGGTTTGAACCCAGGGCCTACACCTTAAGCTACCCCACCAGCACTTTTAAAGGGTTTTTCGATATAGGGTCTTACAAACTATTTGCCCAGGCTGGCTTTGAACAGCGATCCTCCTGATCTCTGCCTCTTGAGTAGCTGGGATTACAGGTGTGAGCCACAGCACCTGGCTTCCCCTGGCACTTTATAAAACTCTGTATCTGTGCCTCTTTCCAGACTGTTTTACTCCTAGAACAGTGGTTCTCAATAGGTGGTGACTCTGGCCTCCGGACCCTGGGCCATATTGTGGCTGTCTCAACTGGGGAGCTCCTGGCAAGAAGGTGGAGGTGGGGCCAGGGATGCTGCTCAGTGCCCTGGTATGCCCAGGAGCCCCAGGACCAGAATACACAGAGGGCAAGCCAGGTATCTGAAGGCTGTGGACCTGCCTGGCATTTCTTACCACCATATAGCACGTCCATGCTCCTAACCCCATAGTGGCCTGACCTGCCTCACACTCCAGCAGAGCTCAGAAGTGTCTTAGCTCCTTAAAATGCCTCCAGCGGGGCCAAACAGCCTGCACTGCCTATAGAGCAAGGAGTGGGCCTCCTGACAGCAGTGCCACTGAAGGATGTTTCACTCAAGTGAGTCCTTAACCCAATGGGCTTTAACAGGTCAGTGCCAGACTCACATTGTACCAGCAACATGGTGCCTCGATGGCATCACACAGCATGGTGAAGACACGCTGGACACATTTGTGGAGCTTTGTTTCTGTTTCAGGGAAACAATGGCATGGGTAATTATCTAAAAACAATTTAATGTGGTCCGTGTACACAACGGAATATTACTTAGCCAGGAAAAGGAATGGGTCTCTGACATACACTACAACATAGATGGATCTTAAAGACACAGTGCTCAGTGAAATGAGCAGACACAGAAGGACATGCTGGGAGCTGGTGGCTCCCACCTGTAATCCTGGTTAGTCAGGAGGCAGATATCAGGAGAATTGCAGTTCAAAGCCAGTCCTGGACAAATAGTTCCAAGACCCTATTTCAAAAAAAATACTCAACCAAAAAAGGGCTGGTGAAATGGTTCAAGTGGTAAAGACTGCCTGCCTAGCAAGTGTGAGACAATGAATTCAAATTCCAGCACCGTGTCCCTCCACCCTACCCCCCAAAAAAAGACACACTGCAGGACTCTACTCACACAGGAGGTTCCTAGAGTTGTCAGAGCCAGAGCCAGGTGCCAGGGCTGGGGAGGGGATAGGCTTCAGTCTGGAGACAGAGCAAGAGAGGGCTGCACAGCCACGTGAATGTGCTCAACACAGGGCTCGTGCTTCAGCCTGGTTAAGGTGGTGGCTTTTATGTATATTTCACGATTAGACTAAAAGGCTGCAGCGTGGCTCAGCGGTAGAGTGCCTTGCTTTGTGAGCTCAAATTCCCCCAATCCTACCAAAATTAGAAAGATTTGTTTTGTTTTCTGAGTCTGGGGCTGCCCCAGATTGAGAACTTGTGTTTAAGAGGTTACACTTCAACAATTATACAACAGGCCAGAGCACGCAAAGCCACACCTGCCTTACTAGATCAGGTTAGGAACAAAGGCACTGCCAGCAACAGGACCTAAGATGTCCTCTCGAAAACCTGCGAGGCTGGGGTCATGGCCCCCTGGAAGACATGACGACAGGCTCAGCATGGTGGCAAGTGCAGG